GTCACGTCTATTTCTTCACATCCTTTCATTCTCTTCTTGACTTTCCTTTTCACTTTTCTTTTTTTTTTGTTTAGTTAAAATTTTCACTTTTTGGGTTTTTATAATAAATAAAACATCTGATTTGATTTCCCTCACTTTTAAGATTTACATTAACATTCAATACACTTTAATATTTGTTGCGATTTGCATCACGGATTTGTAATTATATGTAACTTGCAATGTATATATAGATATTCTTTACTGTTCCAAATAATTGTAGGTTTTACAAGATTTTTTCTTTTGTTTTTAAAGCATTTTGTAATGTTCGCTACCTATTTAGAACTCACTTAGGATCTCTATTTTATCAGGTAAAATGTTAATAAACCTTGGGGGCATTTTCTATCACACATGCCATTACCGTTTTAACTGATGATCAAGAGAATGAGGAGTAATAATAAATTCTTTTTCATTCTTTAAATTTTTTACTATTTACTGGTAATATTTGTTCTATATTATTCCTTTTCATTCTATATTATTTAAAAAATTATAAAACAAAAGTATTTCTTATAAAATGTGAGGAAAAATAAAAAATATTCTTTATTTTTTATATATACTTTATTCCTATTATTTTTTTTTATTTTGTTCATTCTATTCTTTTCCATTTTATTTCTATTCCTTTTTATTTGTCACCAATTAGAGTCTATATGTTTTTCAAAAGTAATTTGAGCTACAATTAGAATTAGGCTTCAAGAGCCCATATTAATCATGTTTCTTAATTTAATGGGCTATATTGGGCTGTAAAGTCGTACAAAACCTTTGGGTCATTGTGTGTGGATGAAAGTTTTCGTCAGAAGAGCAAGTACAGTAGTATTTTCTTTCCGTTTTCTGGTCAAGAACTTAGAAAATTCTCCTTAACGTTTAAAGTTTAAATCGATTCTTCTTCTTTGCTTCAAGGTTTTTCAGCACGAAGCTTCTGCACACTCAGTGATGTACCGTTCTAACTTCTGATGATTCTCCAAGAATGTGTGAAGAAGAACTCAGAAAGCCACAGAAGCATATCTACATTTTTGTGTTCGCTTCTTCCAAATCAATTCTTCTATCAAAACCAAACTAAAATAGTGTCTGCTTGCTACAAAATTCATCCTAATTACACTTACGGCCACAAAACAAAAATACGCAAGATATATGACACATGAATCATCTAAATTCACAAACAACTTCAATCTCATACACTTTGGAAACTTTTCATACAATTTAAGATGAAACTTTTGCAACAAACCTCATCTCCCAAGAATCGGTAACACCCAATCTCCATCTCTCTCTCCTTCCCAATCTTCATCAGAGCTAACCACACCATCTCTCTCCTCTTCTCGAGCCTCATCTCCGGTCTGTAACATCTCTCTTGAATGACGCCTCTTCAACAACACAAGATCCAGCATCGTCCTCCGCACATCGTATATCGGATTCGGCTCAATCAAACAGCCTTTGCTATAAGCCTCTCTAAGAAACAGAGTCTGTGTGCTTCCTTTCGTCGACACATAGAAAATCCCTGGATGCTTCAACAACACTTCCCTCACGTTAACTTCGATCCCAAGATCCTTTCGGAAATGAGCTAATCTCTCGACCTCGACCATCTTCTCAACCGTTAAGCTCAGAAGCTCGTGGATAACCGCAACAACTCGCTTCTCGAATCTCTCTAACCCTCGTGAGATCTCTTTCCTCGCGTAAGGCTTCACGTAAGGAACTCTTTGCCAATTCTTTAACTCTTCCCTGAATCCTTTCTCAATCTTGAATCCCGTTGGAAGGTTAATGGGGAACGCGTAATTAGTCTCGAACTCGCTTAACCATTTCTCTCTGTACTCAACTTCTCTCCACTCCTCGACCTTTGCCACACACAAACTCTCATCACCATCTCCATTTACTAACTCCAAAGTCTCTAAATCAACAAGCTTGAAATCTGAAGTATACTTGGCCAAAATCGAGTCTCGAAAATCCTCAGGCAAACCTAGTTCTCTTCTAATCAACCTCAAAGCATGAACACGAAGCACGCCGTTTCTAGACATCAACAACAGCTTCTTTATCCTTACCACAGCATCAATCTCACACTCTCTAATCACTCTCTCTTCCTCACCAATCACTTCCTTAAGTTTCTCAGTGACCTTACAGCACAAGTTCCTCCTGCAAGGATGTGTAAAGATCTCAAAGGCGTGAGGATACTTACCAACGAAAGCTCCCATGCTTACATTCAAACCAACGAGATTCCTCCACCGAGACATTAGCTGCAGAGACACGAAAGGACCGCGCTTTTTGTAGCTCATGAGTCTCGAGATCACGAGGATGATGTGTAGCTTCCTGGTCTGAGCAATGAGTTTGTCTAATCGATTGTCTCTTGTTCGATTCTCTAACCTCGTCTGCGCTGAATCTACAGGCTTTGACCATCTCCTCTGGTTGTAGAAGTAAAGGGGACAGAAAGATGATAGCTTTGTGGGGTTCTGCTGAGGTAAAGCTTCTCTGATGCTAGTGTACCTCAAAGCTTTTAGAGAATTCATATCTTTACTTGTAAATTTGGGGGAGAAGAAGCGATTTTTAAAACAGACAAACCCATCACCATTTCTCCAAAGCTGGTTCTGAAATTAGGGATTCTCTGTCAGGGCGCAGCAATTCCATAACTGGGTTTCGTTAACGCGGCGCGGAAAACAATTTCTTGAATTCGTGGGGGGAGAGAATCAGAGAACGCGGCGCGGAAGGAGGAAGAACCAGAATGCAGAAGGAGTTGGTTTTTTAGTAAAATCTTTTCTGATTAAAATTAAAAAATAATGAAAAAAAAAAACTAAATACTGAATTTATTTGACGTTGACAAAAAAAAAAGAATTTATTTGACAGAGAAAACATGAAATTCTAATTACTTAATGCGAAATTAATTTTGGTAGAGCTTGTAAGAAATCTGAAATAACGTGTCCATTAGTCATTTTACCTAATTCACCCAATTATTTCATGTAAATTGTTTATCATCTACTTATTAATTAAGAATGTAGTTTAATGAAAAATGCTGATTTGTTTTAATTTGATTGGTTAAAATCTTTTCTCTATCCTAATTAAATGTGACATGGAAATGATGATGTGTAATGATGATGTAATTGCGATATAACATTTACTAACACATGTGATTTATGACATGACAATTTTTTTTGTGATATTTTTATTAATAAAAAAATTAATTAAATGATAAAATTTAGTATACTAATAACTAAATCTGAAATAATTCGCCGGATGCATTACGAATGATCTGATATATTATTATTTATTTATATAGGTAATAATAGATGAATTTTGGGCTGAACGTAATAATATTAATACACATATATAAATATATATATATTATAATATTATGGATAATACTATATTATATACCTATTAAATTTACTATAACTCTGTCATGTACCACTGTGACTTTCCTTATAGATACACACATATATATATTATAATATATATATATATTGATATGTAATACATGCATATATATTTTTATATACTTCAATAGGCAAAATTATAATAACAAAATCACATTGATCAAATCGTTTACCAAATAATTCATACTTTTTGTAAATGTGTGCTCCATTTACGTGGACATATGTTTTCACATACTTTAGTTAGCAAAATTATAATAACAGAATAAAATATTGTTGTGATCTTCTGTAGAACATTCAAAATTTTTAAAAGATTAGTTTAGTTTAAAAATAATAACAAATAACAAATATCAATCCATTTATCTAAATCGAATATGGCAAAAATGAAACTTGAAGGTTGTATAGACTCCAATCGTGAGTGTATAAAGCAAGGTTTTATCGCTACACTGAATTTTCAAAACAAATGGGTTTGACATTAAAAAATTAAGAAGTGGCTCCCTCGCAACAGAAAAAACAATGTTCCCTACGATATTAGCCTTCCAGAAGTCTGAGAAGAATATGGTGAGTTTTTCTACTTTAAAATATTACTAAATGTTCAGAGAAGACGAGTATGTTTTGAAGATATTATGACAGTAAACAGAGTTTTATATCCAACCTTCGCTGAAATATGTCTTGCAATAGAGTTAATTGAAATACTTGATGCTTAAGTGGAGATGATCTTGCAATTATTTGTAAAGTCTACTTGATAAAATTATAAGTAGAAAAATCACACATATGAGTAGATCGAGACCAACACTGATGGAATCATTGAAGAAATAATGCTTTAAATTGAGGAAGATTATAGAAAGACAAAGAAAATGAAAAACGTTTGTTCAAAAAAAAAGACAGAGAAGATAAAATTTGCAGCCTGATCCGCAAATCCGAAGAAGATAACCAGCTATCTACGGATTTGACCCTCTAACATAACAGGTCAAGTTTTACAAAGCCTGATCATTGAAAAATAATTTTTTGTGTTTTCAAAATTTAATTATTATTTTTCAAGTTTGTCTCAAAATATAAATAAATCTTTTGTTATAACAAAATGAATAGTTAAAATTATATCATATTTTACTATTTAATTTAAAGTTTTATAATTCAAAACACTGTTGAGTTTCATATATTACAAAAAATTAAAATATTTAAAACATTAAATTTATATAATTACATTTTTAAAATCGTTCATGTCTGCACATACGGGCCAATATCCTAGTTTTTCCGTAAAAAGATAAATATATATATATATTTCAATAAATTTTTGTGCGCAGATGATTCTGCTTACTACTACACATTAAAATGCTTATTATAATTGATGTTCACTCCACTCTTCTTGCTTGTGCTTTAAACATGAAACGAAAATTAGTTGAGGGTTGAGCATTGATTTCGTACTCAATGTTGATTTATTAATCAAATCAGGTTCAGCACTCAACAGTACGGTTGTAGTTGTAGTTGTAGTTGTACCATTGTTAACGTACGTCCGATTACAGAGGATCTAACCTCATTTCACTGTCAGAGTCAGACATTGAAGAAAATAAAAGTCATAAGAGAAGAGACAAGGGAACACTCGTTTGATCATTTCGAGGATTTTCCCGCTTCCATAACTAATCTTCAATTTTTTTATTCGTCTTCTTCTACTTCCTCATTCGAAGGGCCACCAGATAATTTAGTGAAAATCTTTTTTTTTTAGAACTACATATTTATAATGTTTTAATGGCGTTATGGGTTTGCCCTAGACGAAGGGGCAAAAAAAACCAAGCGGACAAATTATTGCGCGAAAACGATAACACTGAAAGAGAAAAAATCTCTCTAACAAAAAAAAAAGTTAATGGAGATTGTGATAAAGTTTATGCTTTTACGATTCTTGATTTATTACTCTGTTCTTCAATCTGTTTCGGCCATGGATAGTCTCTTATCGCCCAAGGGTGTTAACTATGAAGGTGGAGAAAGAAAAGATTCAAAAAAAAATATTTTATTGTGAAAAAAGGTTTTAACTGTTTTTTTTGGTTTCTTGTAGTTGCTGCGTTAATGTCAGTGAAGAACAAGATGAAAGATGAGACAGAGGTTTTGTCTGGTTGGGATATAAACTCTGTTGATCCTTGTACTTGGTACATGGTTGGTTGCTCCTCCGAAGGTGTTGTTGTTTCTCTGTAAGTGTCATCGTACACTACATGTTCGACCAAATGTCTCTGAGAAACGTTTAATTTCTGCAATTTTGATTGTTTGTTGAATCTCTTAAATACAGAGAGATGGCTAGTAAAGGAATATCAGGGACAATATCAACTAATATTGGGGAATTAACTCATCTTCAAACATTGTAAGGAAAAATTTGAGATCAAATCTTGAAAATGAAGATTGCCTTACTGTATCCAATGGCTTTAGAACTTGATGTTTTTTGTAGGTTACTACAGAATAACCAGTTAACCGGTCCAATTCCTTCCGAGTTAGGGCAACTATCTGAGCTTGAAACACTTGATCTCTCTGGGAACCGGTTTAGTGGAGAAATCCCAGCTTCTTTAGGGTTCTTAACTCACTTGAACTACTTGTGAGTTTTGCTAATTATGATTCTGTGAGTTACTTAATGTTGTTACTTTGTTATATTATCTTACAAATTTTTATAGGCGACTTAGCAGGAATCGTTTATCAGGGCAAATCCCTCACCTCGTCGCTGGCCTCTCAGGTCTCTCTTTCTTGTATGTCTTGCTCTACCTAACATTACACTCATCGATTCATAATTTCGTATAATGTATCTTAGACTATTATTTTTCTTATTAAAAAACTTGAGTAGGGATCTATCTTTCAACAATCTAAGTGGACCAACTCCGAGTATATTAGCAAAAGACTACAGGTAATATATGCAAAAAAAACGTCCTTTACAATGTATGTGAGCCTCTTGACAAATCTTGCTATTGTAGGATTGTAGGAAATGCATTTCTTTGTGGTTCAGCTTCACAAGAGCTTTGCTCAGATGCTACACCTGTGAGAAATGGTATATAATGCCTCAGTAAATTAAGTTTTTTAATAATATGTAGAACGTGAATAGTTTTTTAAGGAACTTGTGGTAATTGATCTGCAGCGTCGGGTTTGCCTGAGAAGGACAATAGTAAACATCACAGCTTAGTGCTCTCTTTTGCATTTGGCATTGTTGTCGCCTTTATCCTCTCTCTCATGTTTCTCTTCTTCTGGGTGCTTTGGCATCGATCACGTCTCTCAAGATCATATGGTACAACATCTCCTAGTCTCTCAAAATCTAATCTTTTTCTTTTAATGGATTTTCTTAGCTCATACTCTGCTACTTTCTATGGATTTCTTAGTGCAGCAAGACTACGAATTTGAAATCGGACATCTGAAAAGGTTCAGTTTCCGCGAGATACAGACGGCAACTAGCAATTTCAGTCCAAAGAACATCCTGGGACAAGGAGGGTTCGGGATGGTTTATAAAGGGTATCTCCCAAATGGAACTGTTGTGGCGGTTAAAAGACTGAAAGATCCGAACTATACAGGGGAAGTTCAGTTTCAGACCGAAGTCGAGATGATTGGTTTAGCTGTTCATCGTAACCTGTTACGTCTCTTTGGTTTCTGTATGACCCCTGAAGAGAGAATGCTCGTGTATCCGTATATGCCTAACGGAAGTGTCGCTGATTGCTTGAGAGGTTTCCACTTTATACACCATTTTCGTTTTCCATTTCAAATAAAGTTCTTTGAAAGATGACATTTTTTTTTTGTATGGATTTGTTCAGACAGTTATGGAGAAAAGCCGTCTCTAGATTGGAACCGAAGGATAAGCATTGCGCTAGGAGCAGCTCGAGGGCTTGTTTACTTGCACGAGCAATGCAATCCGAAGATTATTCACAGAGACGTCAAAGCTGCGAATATTCTGCTTGATGAGAGCTTTGAAGCAATCGTTGGCGATTTTGGTCTCGCAAAGCTTTTAGACCAGAGAGATTCACATGTCACAACCGCGGTTCGAGGAACCATCGGACACATTGCTCCCGAGTACCTTTCCACTGGACAATCCTCAGAGAAAACCGATGTTTTTGGATTCGGGATACTGATTCTTGAACTCGTAACGGGTCATAAGATGATTGATCCAGGCAATGGTCAGATTCGAAAGGGAATGATATTGAGCTGGGTTAGTAAAAAAAGATTGAATCTTTCACCCTATGTTCTTTTGAGTCCATAAAGCAAGAAAATTTGAGTTACTTTAAGAGTGAATCAAAGCCGTTGGTTTTGTTTGGATCAGGTGAGAACATTGAAAGCAGAGAAGAGATTTGCAGAGATGGTGGACAGAGATTTGAAGGGACAGTTTGATGATTTGGTGTTGGAGGAAGTTGTGGAACTGGCTCTGCTTTGTACACAGCCACGTCCGAATCTAAGACCGAGGATGTCTGAAGTCTTGAAGGTACTAGAAGGTTTAGTGGAACAGTCTGGTTATGAGCACACACAAAGTGGTTATGAAGCTAGAGGTCCGAGTGTTTCTAGGAATTACAGTAATGGTCATGAAGAGAATTCGTTTATAATTGAAGCTATTGAGCTCTCTGGACCACGATGACACTCTAAAACTTATATCAAAGTGTAATTCATTGGTTTTGTCATTGTCATTAATGTTCTAGGGATTTTAATTCAAATCTATACTAACTTTATTAGGATTGCCGAACACATTTAATATAGAAATGTTTTTAGTACATTTTTGAAAATTAATTTTGGTCATGTTCATTTTCGCTGCATTTGAATGCAAATGCTTGAATATTGTTTGAATAGATTAAAATCAGCATCCATATAAACATCTCCATGCCAAATCTAAAACATTTCAAAGAAGAGTTCAAAGAAAAAAATACTCTCAATTAAAGTTAAAAAAGATATACGATCCTTAATTTGATGATGGCTCTTTTCTGTCTGAACGCAGCTCATGTACATTTTCTTTCTCTTCATGCCACCTTTTTGTGTTCTATCATTTTTAGAGATTTCTAGGTTTTAATTTCCGTTGAGCTACGATTTTGATTTAAGAAAATTGAAAATGAGTTTCTCCGGTTCTAAGTTTTGATTTATAGGTTTAAAGTAAATTTTAGTTTTATACCTGTAATTTTAATATTAAAAAGAATATTCAAAGCTTCAACTGTTTATAGTACGAAACTGCATTTGTTGACATAACTCATTTGTTCAAGAATTTAAACTGTTGAGCTCTGTATCAATGCCCCATATATATAAATAGGGACGGATCTATATGGTGATTGGGTGGGGCTCGTGCTCCATATTAATTGTATAGATTTTCTAATGAGCAACTATTGCATCTAATATGTTAGATTAGTTGGTTTTGGATAATAACATTTGAAGTTTTTCAGGAAAAGAGTTCAAATTCACTCGATACTAATTTGTTGTATTTTTAACGTTTTCCTTATTTATTTAATTGTTATGTAAACCATTCTCATGTGTTTTTCCAACTTCTTCTATCTTTTTATTCTTTTTTGTTACATTTTATATCTTTTTCATTTCTTTCATATTTTTAATATACATATAGTATTTCTCTTTCTTTGAACTTTAATAAACTAGTTTTTTCTTATTTTTTTATATTTATGTACTTAAAAAATAACTAAGGATACTAAATTTTATTAGATGTTTATCAAATAGTTTATAGTCTAATTTTGTATAAAAACCATTTTATTAATATTTATATACTTTTCTAAAGGAGTATATATTTATTATATGTGAAAATATCTAAAAATCAATGAAAATAGTTTTGTTTATCAGTATTTTTTTTAAACAAAGTTTGAAATTTATTACAAGATATCATTTTTTAATAAAAAATTTATAATTGTAATTTTTTATTATAATATATTTTGTGCCCCATATAAATAATTTTTCTGCGTCCGCCTATAAATAGTATTTTTCAAATGCAATTAGTTAGAGTTTGGTTCTTTCGTATTTGTTTTGAGTTTGTTTCTGCTTTATGTTTTAGTTTTATATTTGTTTAGGGAGATGATTTATCAATGAATTGTGTTTGGAATAAAAAAAAAATGCTGGTTACACGAGCTTTTCTCTGAAGTTCTGATTTTAATAATCTGAGCAAAAGTGATTCTTTATTATTAGTGTTTTCTAGTTTAGGAAATTTACTTCACTTGGTGTTTTTTTTTATATATATAACTAAACCTGGTGGGAAATGGAGCAAGAGGTGGAGCAGTTCAAGTCTTAGAAAGAGTTGGAGATCAGAATCAATAAAAAGAAAAAAAAGATGGCGTCAAGAAATAATGCTGTGAGCTTTCATATCTTTCAATAAATTTCATTAACCATCTTTCATTCCTTCTCCTTGGTGTTGGAATTGCAACCGTCACAGATCTTCAACTTAGTATGTTGGATTCTGTCTTGTTGCTACTGTATGTTATCACAATTTTATATTGCTCAAACTATATTCTATATTAAGCTATTTTTTCTATTGACTTTTAGTAATTTGTGGTGGACTACTTGGAACAATGTTGGTCGAAGATACATGTGATATTGTATATCAAGCTGAGAACGGAACTGTTGATATTGAGGAACTTGGAAGTTCTTTAAATGGTAAGCTTTTGAAAGAGGTGTTGTCTGGAAAAGTACATGAACATGCATGTCATGGAAACTTTGAGAAATTATCCTTGATGTGGAGCTGATAGAAAAAAAAAGATATTATAGATGCAGAGCTAAAATCTGAACTTCGAGCTGTGTTTGAGCTTGCACCTAAGAGTGAGTTTGAACCACATACTGAAATGCTAACTGGACAAAGAACACTTGATATTGGATAGCACTGTATGGAGCTAAACTAGCTGAAATACTCAAGATATAGTATCTAAGTGCTTCAGCTGGTTTAGCTCCCCACAATGCTGTCCTACATAAAATGTTCTATATGCAGCCAACATTTCATGTGGCTCATACTGTGCAAGCTCAACCACAACTCCAATTTCAAAGTTTGGCTCTGCATCAACCTCATCATCTTTCCCATCAGCTCCACATCAAAGGGTAGCTTCTAAAGGATTCTATGACCTGTATGCTCATGCATATTCCCAAACAACAACTCTTCCACAAGCTCACCATTTACATAACCCCCAAATGCCTCAATATCAATAGTTCAATTCTTAGCTTCATACAGAAAATCACATACATTCCCAAGCCAATTTCTTTCCAAATAGTATGTCACAAGATACTAAAGCTTCATGGGAAAAGAACAGCTAAGCAGAGGATACAATTTGAGCAACATAAATTGTGATAACAACCAGCAGTGATAAAACAGAATCCAACATATTAAGCTGAAGATATGTGGCTATTCATTTCAACACAAGGGAGAAGGATGGTTAATGGAAGCTGAATTCCATGCAATTACATGATCGGTAAAAACCAATCCGAACCAATATGTACGGCTTCCAAACTTAGAATCTATAAGTAAATAATAATCAAATCCGATCTGAACTAGATATTTTAGATCAATTTCAGTTTGGGTTTTCAAGTCCGATTTTTATTCCCAAAACTATGTATAATAATAAAAATTAACAAAGAAATATTTATCATAATAAATATTGTTGTATGACAAAATAAAATAAAAAACTAAACATAAAATAATTTAAAACGTTATTTTCTTTCTTTCTTTCTCATAAAATTATTAACCAATCTTTTAAAATTGCAGTAAAAATAATTGAGAATTAAATAGAAATAAAGAAGTAAAATAGTTTTGTTTTCCAAAAAAAAAAGAAATGGCAAACTTACTCTAATGATGGTGTTTGATGAACTTACTAGAAAATAGGAATGAGACGACAAATGACAATAAGAAAATTTTCACAAAACTGTTTGTACTTGAATCTTTTTCATATCATTAATTGATTTAGTTTATTTGAAGTTTTCTATTTTTTTTTTAATTTTATATAATTATTATTGGATTAAAGAGAAATATAACTTATATTTGGGTTGAGCCTACTAATTTATTACTCAAACTAAAAACACATAATTAAAAAGTAAGACCTTTAACTATAATATTATTGGAAAATACGAAAACTCACATCATTACTGTTTGACCGCTATTTTTTTTTTTAATTATGATCTCCAAACTCTTTTTAGGATTTAAATGCTTTACTTTTTCTCTGTTTTCCATCATATTTGGTTATATATATTAAAAAGACACTAAGTAAAGTAAACTTTTTAAACGAGATGACATTTAAAACAAAGAATCACTTTTCTCTAAATTATTAGAATCAGAACTTCATATAAAAGCTTGTGTCACTTGCATTTTCTATTCTAAAAACAATCAATTGGTAAATCATTTTTATAAACTAATCTAAAACCTTTAAAACAAAAAGCAGAAGCAAACGCAAAACAAACATGAAAAAATCAAGTTCCAACTACTTGCATTTGAAAAGTACCCTTTTTGTTTACATATGGGGCTTGATCCAGAGCTCGACAATTTAAATTCATGAACAAATGAATTAGACTAACAAATCTAATTTCGTACTATAAACAGTTCAATCTTTGAATCTTCAATATCAAAAGTACAAATATTAAACTAAAAATTCACTATAAACTTATAAATCAAAACTCTGAACAAAAGAAATTTATTTCCAATCATCTTAAATTAAAATCGTAATTCAACAAAAACTGAAATTTGAAATCTGTAGAATATGATGGAACACTAAAAAAAAACTTACATGAAGTAAGAATTGAAGATCAGACCAAGAAAACATAGAAGATTGTTTTCTTATCAGGCAAATCAGTAAAAATGGAGCCATAGATCTAAGCGGCGTTAAGAAAGAAGAGAATGTATCATCAAATTAGAGTTTTAAAACTTTAACTAAGGATATTTTTGTCTTTTATATATTTTAAAAGCAAACGTTACATTTTTAACTCTTTTTATTATTATCTGAAATATCTAAGTTTTTTTTTAAAAATATATATTTTACATCTACTATAACTACATGATAATTTAAATATATTAAAATAAATAATATTTGAGGTTTTACATCTACATATATAGTAATTCAAACCAAAAATATTTGGAGGGGAGATGGTGAAAGGGGTTATTGGAAAATGGATTTATATAGAGTTGATTGATTTTAAAAGTTGAAAAATCTGTGTAAAGAATTTTATTAGGTTCAAAGAGGTTTATATATTTTAAAAAAAAATTATTAGAATTGATTTTGAGAATCTTATGGATATTACTAGAATTTCTGAAATTTGTTGCATTTGTTAATATGTTTAAAATCTATGTCCTAATAACGAAGATTTTAATGAATTTTAAAAATCATCAAACTAATAACACTAAATTTTTATAAAAATATCCGAATTTATCAACCAATAATAAGAACTTTTATGAATCCTAACAATTTTTAAAAAACTATCTTTCAATAACCCCTCGAAAAATTTAAAACTTTTAAAGCAAATGTTCAAAAAAAAAAAAACTTTAAACTTTTACATCTACATAGGGATGAAAAAATAACAGGGCCGTCATTTGCGCCGCGTATATAATTATATTTTGCTCATGGCCTCTGTAAACTCGGCCCATTCTGAAACCAATTTGACATGGATAAACCTCACGCGCATTTGTAAAGAGTGAGTAACACGCGCAAAATTTCCAATAGGGATAGTTTCGTCATTGCGATGTTATAAGAAACCCTAGTTTCGTCCCATATAACTCCTTTCACTTGGCACCCGACGCAGCTTCGGCTTTTGCAACACTCTCTGCTTCCTCTCTTAGCTCGATTTTGATCCCTTTAGAATGGTAAATTCCTTGTCTTGTCTCTGTAGATCGATTCAATGGTGATGTCTTTGTTTCTCTGGGTTTACTAATCAGGCTTTGTTTGCTCTTTTCGCTCTCTCTATCTGTGATTTTAGGCGTCGGAGAAGAAGCTCTCGAACCCCATGAGGGACATTAAGGTCCAGAAACTCGTTCTCAACATCTCCGTTGGTGAGAGTGGTGATCGTCTCACCCGTGCCTCTAAGGTCCGTTTCTGGGAATAGCATGAAATGTAGAAAACGTTGATAAAAGTCTCTGCTTTTTTACCATTTTCCTTAGCTTATGTTGGTTTAGGTTTTAGAAACTACTTTGAAAATTGTTTGGTGATGAGATTTTTGATTGTTGTTTTGTATTTTGTAGGTGTTGGAACAGCTCAGCGGTCAAACCCCTGTCTTCTCCAAGGGTATGTGAATGTTACAAAAATCTCTGGGTTTGTATGCTTTTAACAGTTTGGTTTATTTGTGTTTTCGTTATTCCTTTTGTGTCAAATCTTGATTCTGATGTATGGGTTTTATATTACAGCGAGGTACACTGTGAGGTCTTTTGGTATTAGGCGTAACGAGAAGATTGCGTGCTATGTTACCGTGAGAGGTGACAAGGCAATGCAGCTTCTTGAGAGTGGTTTGAAAGTGAAGGAGTACGAGCTTCTTAGGAGGAACTTTAGTGACACTGGTTGCTTTGGTTTCGGTATCCAAGAGCACATTGATCTTGGAATCAAGTAAGTTTTTCGGTTTTGAATATATGTATGCTTGATTGAAATACTTTATTCGTTTTTGCGTTCTGTTTTGGTACTCATGTTTCAAGCAGCTCCCTTTTCAATTGACCAGTCTCGTCGAAATTTAGATTTCGTGCATTTGGGTTATGCGTAGTATTATATATTGGGTTCTATAAAAGATGAAGCTTTACTGATCTTTAATAGCTCTTAGGTTTTGGTATGAATCAAATGATAACCATTTGCGTGTTTTCCCGCAATGTTGGAGTTGTGTTGTGTAAAAGATGAACACTTGACTTGTTTTTTTGTAGAATGTTTAGGTGTGGGTTTACCAAAAGATTAACACTTTATGGGCTTATGTAGAATGTTAGATGTGGTTTTGATTCAAGATTAATATTTTAGTAGCATCGTTTGGATATAATTCTAAACAATCGACGGAAAACCATTCGATAGCATTTTGAGGTTAGGATCATTGCTTCAAAGATAAACCATTTTTGTAGAATGTTATGTTTGGAATTTGATTAAAGATGAAGCATAACTGGTTTTCATGGATTGTGAGATTTGGGTTTGATTAAAACATGAACACTAAATTGGTTTATTTGTAGAGTGCTGAATTCTGATTCTTATCTTTTTCATCTTGTGTGTTTTAGGTACGATCCTTCTACTGGTATCTACGGAATGGACTTCTACGTTGTTCTTGAACGTCCAGGATACCGTGTGGCTCGTCGCCGTAGATGCAAGGCTCGTGTTGGTATCCAACACAGAGTAACCAAGGATGATGCTATGAAGTGGTTCCAAGTTAAGTACGAAGGAGTTATCCTCAACAAGTCTCAGAACATCACCGGTTAAAAAGAAGCTTAAAATCTTTAGAGATTTTTGTTGTTGTTTTTTTAGCTTTGTTTCAAGCTGTCATCTTTTACTATTTCTGGGATGTTAAAGAATTTCTTGTTGAGTAAAAAACCTTTTTCTGACATCTGTTTGGTAGAATCTAAATCTTCCAAGAACCTTGGAGATATGATTTTTGTTTTTCTCGAGTTTACCGTCTTCATTTAAACAAGTTATCATTCAAAGTAGTTCATTCGATTTCTATTCTATTCGATCCCTGTAACTTGCATAACTCTTCAGCAAGAAGCTATAATTGTCCTAAGAGATTTGAGAGTTAGTTTTGAACTATTGATTGTTCTTGTAATGAGTTTTTGAATACATTTCTTTATTATGAAAGTTGAATACATTCGAGAGAGACTGTAGTAGTAGTGTCTAGTCTTTAGTAAAGTTCCTCATCATAGTATCATTGCTTCAAAGGCAAAAATTGGTGGAATCATAACCACTTTATTTCAACTCTATTCATTTTTTTTTTAATTTATTAATCATTTCTTTGCAGTCCATAAATTGGCAAGGGTAATAAGTAATCTAACAATAATTAGAAATAAATGATTTGATAACTATAATTGTATGAATTCTCACACTTATGTCTGTTGTTCTACACAAACAGTCTCTATAATTTTTTTTCATTAGAAAAAACAAATGATTTGAATAACAATAATTATTTATATAACCTCAAAAATACTCTTCAGAAAGTCATAATTGAAGTATTAACTTATCAAATCATAAAATCACACCATTCACAACAACAAAATTTAGTGGAAAAGAATTATATAAATAATTATAAAATCATTACATAAAATCACACCATTCACAACAACAAAATTTAGTGGAAAAGAGCAAAACACAACAAAGAGAGAACAAAATCATTACATTTTCCATTTAATTATTCTCATCACACTCAATGTAAAACAATTTATAAAGCAATGAACAAAAGAGGTGAGGAAAATCGTAAATTTTATTTTAAGTTTAAAAAAAATAAAAAATAAATCGTAAAATTTAAACCGGGCTTGCACCGGTTTGGTTATTCTCAAACGACTACTTGTTCATCCAGTAAGAAGATTTTCTGAAAAATGGGTAAAGATTAGACCTTTTTTGAAATTCAACTACACCATTTAGCGAGAAGAATGAGGAAGATGATCAAGAACACAAGCGAAGAAAGAACAATGGCGACACCAAGCACAGTCTTATCCGAACCATGATGCTCTTCTTTCTTAACCTCATTCTCTTCTCCATCGTAATCGTCTTCCTCCTCCGACGTCGAATCCTCCTTTTGCGGCGGAGACGATATAGGCAAACCGTATTTATCGCACGGAGCAATACCCAGATTCAGCTTCGAGGATAACACAGTGTGGTTGTAACAGAGACCACTGTTCCCTCCGATTTCGAAAACTTCGAGACTTTTGATGAAGCTTTCGTTGAACGGCAAAACTCCATGAAAAGAATTATCAGCGAGTTTCAAGTGTTTGAGATTCTTCATCTCGGAGAAGAAGCTTGGAACGGTGCCGTTTAGTTGATTCCTGCTGAGATCCAAATGTGTAAGCTCAGGCATCGACGAGATCGAATTTGGGATCGGTCCTGATAACTCGTTCGAAGCTAACGACAAGTTTTTCAACCAGATTAAGTCTCCGATTCCGTAATGTATCTGGCCGGAGAGTGAGTTGTGAGATAGGTTTAAGGATTTGAGGCCTGAGAGAAGAGTGATCGAAGTTCGAATCGTTCCTCTGAGCAGATTGTTTGATAGATCGACGTAAGTAAGATTCGAGTGAAACGATTTCGGGATTTTGCCGGAGAGTTTCGAGTTTGAGATTGTGAGTGAAGTGATCTTGCGCATGTTTCCGAGGATTACGTAAAGACCAGAGGTTGAGATCGGGGTTGAGATGATGCTGAGGCTTGTGAGGTTAACTAGACGAGCGAGGAAGACGCCGGAGAGACCGTGACGGTGGAAGGAGGAGACGGCGGAGAAGGAGTGGAGAGAGGTTGGGAGGTGATGCGGTGGAGAGAGAGAAGGGCAGTTGTTGAAGGAGAGAGAGAGCAGAGATTTCGAGAGAGGCTTGAGGGTTTTCGAGTAGAGAGAAACAGAGGAGCGGTTTGTGAAGGAGAGAGAGGTCACGTGGCGGAAAGGAGAAGCGCTGTCGCAGGTTATGGAGGATGAAGAGTGGTTCTTGTTGTTGTTGCAGGGATCTTTGGTTGTTGTAATGGTTTTGAGAGATTTGAGAGCTTTGAGCTGTTTTGGGTCTAATGGAGAAGATGAGGAGACGGTGGCTAAGAGAAGGAGGAGGAAGAAGAAAACTAGCGGTCGCGGTTGCGTTCGCTGCGGTTTCATAGTGGTAAGAAGAGAGATCTTGGGAATGGTAGAAAATGGAACGGTCTTGTGACATTTATATGAACCTAACAAGAACAAGTAACTAACTTGTGTATCAAGCAACCACTTGAAGAAAGTCCACTAACAAACAAAGTGCAATAAAGATGAATCTTTCAGTTTACAAATGAGCCCATCAGGCCCAGTTACGAGATTGAGTAAACCTTGACGACTCTTGTTGTGTCACAGACAACAAGATTCTCAGAATCAGATTGATTCGTGCAAAGCCAATTCACCTGTTTTAAAGGAAAAGCCACTTAGATGTTTAGAATCAGAAAAAGAAGAAGTGGCAAAGCTGAAGAACAATACGAGGTTTGAATTACCTTTTTGGTCAGGTCAATATTCATATGGAGGAAACCTCTGTTATCGTTGTTGTTGTTGTTGTCTGAATCAAGACATTTAAAGCAATCCCAGATTTTAACTGTCTTATCATTACCTCCTGAGACCAAGAATCTACCTTTCTCCGGAAACAGAGAAAACGATACACAAGATACAGCAGCTTTGTGTCCACCAACAGAGTAATCTAACCGAACCCTTTTGATCACATTGTCGTTGCTGCTACTGCTGCCTCCTTTTGATGTTTTTGACGAAGTTACTTTCCGGGAAAGTTCTGATTCAATATTGATCAAATCTACAACTCCGTCACCTCTAGCAACAGCGCAGATCTTGTCTAACTTATCAACCATGTCGATTTCCGGAACTGCTATCGAGTGGACAAACGCAGGGTTTAGGCATTGTCCTGAGGTACTTTGTGTATCAGAGCCTGAAAGATTACAGAAAAATATCAGATTTAATGGCGTGTATATGAACCCGAATCAGCGACACTAGTGTGCTTACCAAAGTCTAGAATCTTTTGGGATCGGCCTTTTGAGAAATCCCACAAAACAAGCTTCGAATCAAGTCCACCAGTTATAACTGTTAAGAAACTTAGCCGTTTTAGAAACCTTGAAGAGACATATATATATGCATATCTAGTGACAAGCGTAATGGTTAGTTAGTTAGTTACCTTCCCAAGGTCTCCATGGAATGAATTGCACACTACTGCATATCTTTAATGCTACATTAAGGTGTGACTTTGAGTTTGTTGAATTTCATAGACGTGAGCAAGACAAAAACAACGATAAAGGATACGCTTGTATGAGCAGCTCTAAGGGTTTTGTAAAGGCATTTCTGACCAATGTCGATGATCTGTGTTCGAGTAAACTAATCAAACCGAGAAACGTCCCACAAAAAAAGACGTGTATTTATGTAATGTTTTACGATATTGAGGTACCTTAACATCACCAGAATCATCAGCAGAAGCAAGAAAAGATGATTTTCCGTTGCATACCACCTTAAACAAATCAAGAAAATGATATCAAAATCGATTTTGTAGGTAAATTTGATAACTTTGCAGAAAGTCAGTTTAGTTTTAGTTATCTACCTGATTTATTTCATCTTTGTTGTAACTGTAGCTCTCTAATGGCTTCCAAGAAGAAGAACTTAGCTATAGAAAATGCAGAAAGAGAAACTTAAGTGAAGAATTCGTTAATGGGTTTATCTAAGTTTTGATTTTTATTTACCGTATGAACATCGAAAGACTTGATTTCGTTTCCAGAGGAAGCATAAAGAACGTGCTCGTTACCTGAATCAAAAGAGAATGTAATCACCAATTGAAACAAAAAGAGTTGTTTTTGAGAGATGCAGAACCAAAATAGAGACAAAAACCTGTCTTGAAACAAAGAGACGAAACAGGTTCTGTCCCAACGTCAATGGTGAATTGGACATCTTTACATCGCAAATCAAACCAGCAAATGCAACCATCCTATAATCACCTTTCAAAAATTGTTAAAAAATACTTCGTAAGAACCTAAATCGATACCCTAAATTTATCGTAAAAAAAAGTTTCAATTAGAGATTTTGGAGACCTCGCCGGAACTGACAACAAGTCCCGGCCGGTCACGAGAAGCTATACAACAGGTGACAGTTGATTTGTGGCCTCTCAGCTTCCTTGGCGCCGCCATTGCCATAGCTAACTAGGATTAACTATAACTGTGACTCTGGGTTTCTCCGGCGATTGCTCAGTTTCAGCTCTAAATTACAGAGGTCGCCAAATGCACTGTAACCGAACCAAACCATACCAAAACGGTTAACCCAAAACTGAAACCGAATCTTTATATCTATAAAACATAAGTCAGTTGGTAATCCTGGGTTTGACATGTGTTTTTTATTTTTTAAAATGAAAATATTTTTTATTTTATTATTTCTGTCAAAAATAAATATTTTAAATCTAAAATTATTAAATAAAATAACGATACTTTTTGCATCCATTATCTCTCAAATTCAACTTCCCACTATTCACCACCATTTTCATCTTACCATTATATTTCATAATCTTTTAACTTCTATCGATTACTTTCTCAAAATGTAATCTATTTATTGTCAGCTTCTAACAAAAAATTGAAATTATTTTTCTCAAATTCATTTCAGTTACTAATTGTAGGTATTTCCTCGAGTTCTAATCGGTTTCAGAATCTTCATATCGCCTAAAATCGCCGGCTCAAGTGGTGTTTTTCCGTCGAAGAAGGTGATAAACATGATCGAACTGAAAGTTCCGAAGAGTATAGCTTTCGATTCAGCAGAGGAAGGTCTGTGCGTTGGTGTCTTCGAGGTCAGGTCCTGAAATGGCACGAAGAATCCTTGGATGAGCAGATTTTGCTTACACATCGAGTAATAGGTAGCCCACATTTTCAGCGAAGATTAGACAATTTTTTTTACTGTAGTTTCTCATTATTGTCTCTTGGGAATCTTTAATTGTCCTGGGTTTTGATGGTAAAATTAAAGTGATTGCTCACGGTTTGTCAAATTGTTGTCATTGTGTAAAAATTGTAAGGATTTTATTCGATTTGATCATAATTAACATAGTTTATTCTTTTATTAACTTTGATGACCTCTGAGCGAGCAATGTGCTCTCACAGGTTACTGTGACGGCAAGTTGAATCTAACATCACAGAACTCAGATTCTGGAAAGTGTCAACCATTTTAGTGTTTTGTGCAATTCAGTATGTGACGTAAATATAATTTGTTAGATTATCTCTCATCTTTTACCATGTGCATCTGGTTTATGCGGATGTTCGTTACCCATTTGTGCCAGAATTGGAGCATGTGTGTGGAAGGCCATTAGGAATGTGTTTCGAGAAGAAAGCCATAGATCTTTATATTGCGGATGCCTTTCTTATTATTGGTTTTGCTGGTGGTTACAGAAGATTTTGTTTCACTAATAAATTGGACATTGATGAGCAGGAAAATGTAATCATGTGATTACTTCACAGTTACTAGCACCAGATTTCAGAGAAGATAACATGAATAGAAACATCTTTCTTATTATGTGATTTTCATAAAAGAACAAAGCTAATGACTTTCTTACTTCAATGCATGAATCTCAAATTCTCCTTTTCAATTGGTGATGGTGATTTAATTTCAATTTGTCAACGCAATTCTGATAGCCATAATATCTACTTGCAAGATCCTAAGGCTTTGGCTCTCTGGTCCAAATGCAGGAACCAAGACGTGTTTGCTCAGCTTCTAGGTGAATCTGAGTGAATCATCAGAGGTTTGGGAGGTGCTTGACGATAAAGAAAGAAAGAGACTGAGGTTTATAAGTGAAGTGAAGTGGAAAGATGGTAAGCTTTTGATTGGTTCTGTTCTCATACCATTTCTTAATGTTTATGATTTGAAGTTTTATACGTTGTTGAGATTTAATTGTCTTTGCGTTGTTATAATGTTGAATGTCAAGTTAATGTATGTTTTATGTGTAAGTTTTGGATTGGTTCTGTTTTCATGTCGTTTCTTGGTGTTTATGATTTGTAGTTTTATATGTTGTACATTAAGTTGTTAACTCCTTTTTTTTTACGCCCTTTTTGTATTCAAAATTAATGTTGGTAGTATATATATTTAGACTGTTAAGTACTCTATCACAATACTAAAAAAACAGGAAAAGTCTATAAATAAAGTAAATATTGTGTGAAAGGGATAAGGATATAGTGTACGATTCGTAAATAAAATTGAGAATTACTCCTTTAAACAATGTAAATTAAATGTTGTTAGGTTCCGTTCACAAAATAATGAAGCATGCGATAAATTATTAAATTCGAGTAAATATCAGACAAATATATATATTTAAATTGATTTTAATTGTATACATATAACGTCTTTAAAAGAATTGTGCAATTATTTATTAAAAATACAAAAAAAATTCTAGCCTGCACTAAGTGCGGGCTAAAATACTAGTGTTTTTATAAAACATTTGGCTTTGTTATTCATGTTTTATAAAATCGAAAAGAATATATCAAAAAGAATTAAAAAATGACAGAACCTCAAAATATCAACCATAATTGTAATTCAAACTCAAATTTTATAGTTTTAGTTTGACTTATGATTCAGTAGCATTTTTAAGTTATCAGTTAAAATAATGACTGTAACCTCTCTTTTGTAATTTTGTTAAACAAATTAATCAGCTTTGACCGTAATTTTGACATTGTTAGCTAGGAAGCCACTTTAATTTAATAATAGGGATAACCTTTTTATTAGTTTCCTTCATTACCAAACGTTTTCTGTTTGCACCTACATTTATTTTGTCAACATCTTAATACCAAAACCTTTTTGAAGCCTCCCTATAAACTAATCAGCAAGTATCACATCTGAGCAACCACATATTTCTCTAAATTCTCTGATAAAACTCCTAGGCCTGGGCATTCGGGTACCCGATCGGGTTCGGATCGGGTCTATTCGGATTTTGGTTATTTCGGTTTTGGACTATGAAACCCATTCGGACATTTTAAATTTTTGGGTAGGATTCAGTTCGGTACATGCCGGGTTCGGGTCGGTTCTGTATTACTGTTTAAAAACCGAATTTTACCCGAAAACTAATCAGGTTTGAGTCGGGTTCGGATATTACACTCAAAAGTATTCGAACTTTGAATTCGGTTTGGGTCCTTACGAGTATAAATAACCAATTAAGCCAAACAATCAAAAATATTTTACATTGAATACCCAAAACTGCATATTATTCAAAAACTGAAACGAACATAAAGAAGAGAAGAAGTTCAAGCAAGACATAAGAAAAAGTTCAAACCCCAAAATAACATTCATAAAGAAACACCAAAACACCAAAGTTTGTTTCTCAATATCTAAAGAGGTAAATAAGAAATGATAAACTAGAGTCAAGGAAGCAAATGACATGAATCTGATCAAACATTGTCAAAGAGTCAAGGAATGACGAGTGCAAAAGCAAAACTGCAGAGAACTCCAAAGCAGAATATGTCAATCTCCATATTCCTGTGACATTAAATCCAAATCAGAACAAAACTTAGAAGCATAAAACCATAATAGCTCAAATAAAGTTACTACTTACTACTACTAAGTTAGTATGTTACCTTATAGCTGAGCTGGAGAATGCTTCACTCTTCTTCTTCTGGTATTGCTTGAATATCAAATTCTGAAAAATAAATTAGGACAAACAAAGTGTTAAGATTCATAGTTAAAACAATGAAGGAAAATTTAAAATTGAGTAGAGAAATATGACTTACCTCTCTTAAGCTTATCCTCGTATTCAACTTCTTCTTGTAGTTGTTCCACTGTTGTTGGAACTCTTGCTTCACTAAACCAAATTTCTGACTTCAGCCACTGCTCTGTACACATCAAAACTTCAATTGTATAGTGAGTAAGAGAACTCCTACAAGGAGTTACAATGCGACCACTAGTGCTGAAAGCACTTTCAGATGCAACTGAAGACACTTGCATTGCAAGTATATCTCGAGCGATTTCAGATAAAATAGGGAACTTGGAGGTGTTAACTTTCCACCAAGATAAAACGTCATACTCTGTTCCACTCATAACTGCCGGTATCTCAACAGGTTCCTTGAGATATTTATCCAATTCATCTCTGCTATCTCTGACTCCCAATTCATTCACCCTTTTCTTGTACATAAAATCCATCCGCTCATATCCGAAATCATCGTCCACCAACTGCATTGCTTCTTGCGACTGTGCACTCACTGAGGATGTCTGCGTAGATTGAGACTGTTGCTGACTTGGCTGATTGTGCCGAAGTGTATACTCATCAAACAAGTCACGAAGAAAATCAAGGACAGATTTATACATTTCTATAGCATCAAGCGATTCTGACCCATATAACTTCTCGAAACACATATTAGCAAAGTCCATCTTCTTCCTAGGATCAAATACCGTAGCTGCAATCAACATCTTGTTGATCTCCTTCATTCCATCCTAATACTTGTCAAATTTCTTCAACATGTCAGCAGCCTTTGCCTTCAACTCTGAATCATAACTATTACTTAGCTGAATAAGGTTTCTCTCTATGGTGACTATCTCACCATAACATTTTTATGAATTCAGAGACTTAGAAGCTGACATAACCAACGTGGAGTTGTAAAATATGACCAAGAACTTAGCTAGCCTCTCAACAGCATTCCAATCCCTTCTTGTTGGAGGTCTAATTTGTTTGACACCATTCTCATACTCCAAGAAGTAATCATTGTATAACTTATCTTCAGCCTCCATCTTGTCAAATGCTACTCTAAAGTTTATTGCCTTTGTCAACATGTTGAATGTAGAATTCCATCGTGTTTTGACATCCAATGGCAAACTACCTCGTGTTATCCTTCCTGAATCAACCCTCAACTCAAAAGACTTCAATCTATTTTTAGATGATCTAACATACAAAATCGCATTACGTATGGCATTCACACTCTCATCTACTTCGGCTAAACCTTCCTTCACAATCAAGTTTATTATATGCGCACAACATCTAACATGCATAAAACTCCCACCCAACACAAGAGCCTCTGGAGATAGCTTTGAAAACTGACTTTCAAACTTCCTTAAAGCTGAAGTATTGGCAGTTGCATTGTCAACAGTTATGCAGAATATCTTCTCTAAACCCCAATCTGCTAAACATTCTAAGAGAACATCTGAAATTGTCTGACCTTTGTGATCCGTAACATACTTGAACCCGATGATCAGCTTCTTCAACCTCCATTCTGGATCGATAAAATGCAACGTGATAACCATATAACTTGCACCTGTTGAATAGCAAACAAAATTAAGTTATAATCTGAATAGCAAGTAAATTTGACTTAAGCAAATAGAATCCAGTAGCTAAGAAGCTCATACCTGTAGGCTGACAAACCCAAATGTCTGTTGTGAGAGAGACTCGTTGCTTGTTAGCAACAAACCATTCCTGCAAAGCTGTTTTCCTCTTCGAATACATCTCAACGATGTTTCTTGTTGATGTTCTTCTTGAATGCGGGTCATACAGATTCACCTTTTTGCAGAAGTGTTTGAAAGCCATACTTTCAACAAAAGAGAGTGGCAATTCTCCAATCACAATCATCTCATCCGTAGCTTCTTTGAATACTTTCTCAGTCACTTTCGCATCCTTTAGACCTCCAAACGTCGTATCAATAATTTTCTGACTCTCCTTCTGTTCCCATGCTTTGAAGTGTTTGCAACATGTCAGATGATTTTTTAGATTTGAAGTGCCGGACGATGTTGGACAGGAAAACAGCTTCCGACAATAGTGGCAGTGGCATTTGTCTCGATTTTCTTTTGTCTTTGTGAAATGGTTCCAAACATCAGACCTTGGAGGGAGTTCCTTCCTCTGCTTAGCCGACTGAGAATTAGCTCCATCTGATACTTTTCTTTTGCCTCCACCACTCGTAGGAGTTCTAAACTCTTGCTGCGATTCTTAAATGTTATCTGGATTTAGAGATGATGAAGAATCCATCTGAAAGTATGAAGAATATACAATCAAATGATCGAAAGTGCAGAACCACGCCAACAACAAAAAGCAACTAACTGATTCTTAAGCTTCACTACTCTAACTGATTTATACAAAATTTACAAGCTAGACAATAAAATTATATAGACTTTGTGTCAGCAATTGTGATAAAACTCTGGTTTGATAAACAAAATCATATTGTTAGCAAAACCCACAAGCTACAAACCATGAAGAAGAAAGAAATGAATACCTGCGATCGATTTCTTGAAGCCTCTGAAAGAGGAGAAAATGGTCGATAAAAATGTAGGGATTCCAGATTTACTGGATTTGTTTAACAGGCTTTGCTTTTAGGTTGGGAATGGGGAGAAATCGAAGAGACAACAGAGGTATGGAAACTGGATCGACGGAAATTGGAAACTGGATCAAGGGAAATTGGAAACTGGAAAGAGAACATACATATTTGATATTTCTTCGTTTACCATTCGGATACTTACGGGTATCAGTTATTTAACCGAACCGAACCTTTATCCGAAGTTACTCAGCCTTACACCCCAATCGGTTTTTTTCTTGGATTCGAATCCGAGCCAAACATGTTTTTTTCGAGCGGTTTCGGTTCGGTTTGTCGAGTTTGGACTTTCTGCCCAGGGCTAAAAACTCCAATGGCAGCAAAGGCTTCCAAATTCATTTGCCTCCTTATCTTCTTTGCCTTCGTCACCCATGGTATTCACATTTTTTGTTTTTAGGTATTCACATTTTATAAATAAAATAAATATATTATAAGTGTATAACCTTAATACATTATTTGATCACTATAAGTCAATATCCTATGTGTTGGATTTGAATCCAAGTAGTAACATAGTGACATCACTAAGCTATTTGATCAAAAAGCGATATGTTATTATAATTAATATTTACTTTTTTGGGGTTCAAAATATAAGGAAAACAATATTTTTCGTGTTTCCTTTGGAAATATTGTAAGGGTATGCGTGTGACTTGGACAGTTTAACTCTGTCACAAGCAAAGACCGGAAAGATGGTTCAGGGCAAACCGGAGTGGGAAGTGAAAGTGACAGGCCCATGTTCCTGCGAGTCCCTCAATATAAAGTTGTCGTGCGCCGGTTTTCAATCTGTCACAACCATTGATAGCAAAGTGTTGTCGAAAACTGGTGACGAGTGTCTCCTCAACGATGGAGAACCTATCGATCATGGAGATTACGTTTTTAAATACGTATGGGACACTAGCTTCGACTTCGAGATCACCGACGCCAAAATCACCTGCTCTTGAACTGTTTCAAATGTAGAAATATTCGGTATTTGGTTCATGTTGGCTTAGTTATTTTGAGCTCATGATCAAGCTGGTGATGTTTACTCAAATTATATTGTTGTAATATCATTAACTTGAAATTAATAAAGTTAATCGTTTACTTTGAGTTGGTTTTTTTTTTTTTAATTTGATTCTGATAAACTCAGACTGAACTCAACCAAAGTTAATTCGGTTTGATTTTTGTTTGTTTCGGTTTAGTTCAGGTTAATTTTAATTTTGTTTGTTAACAAAAAATAATTTACAAAACAAAAAACAAAATTCAAACCGATCATTAATATTTAAAAATAAACTAAATCAAACATCACTCATTATTTTTAGTTTGATAAACAAAAATTAATTTACAAAACAAAAAGCAAAATCTAAGAATTGATTATTAATTGGATTGTTGGTTCAGTTTGGTTGTGACAGTTTTTATTACCAAAACAAAAAGCAAAAAGCCTATATTAGGTTTTGCTATTTGTAACAGTTTTTGCTGACCACATAACATTTACTAGAGATTAGATAGATATCTGGTTCAATGCTGGTTTAGTTAGGTTATATTATTTTTGGTTTACTGACACAAGCTTTGTTTTTTTGTATCATTTAAAATCAATGAAGGAATTCACAAACTCACAAAAGTTGGAACATACCTCAATCTTATTTTTCTCTCAGGTGAACAAAAATTTAAAGAAAATAATCGAAAACCTCAGATTGGATTATTGGAGATGTAAACAAGAAAAATAGCACCATCAAAGTAAATCATGTTCACTTCAGAATTAAAACATTTTCCAAGCAAGAAACATTGATAAAGTATATATAATCAACAGAAATGCATCAAAAGGGCAAAAATCAACTTAAAGCAATCTTCATATTCGAATGACTTTGAATCCGTTAAACGAAAAAGAACATCCGGTCCTTAAACTGTTAACCATTTAAATGAAACAACTCAAAATGGTAAATCAACCATAAATCATTATAATTCAAATTCAAATTTAAATTTTAGTTTGACTAGGTATTTATCCGCGCTATGCTGCAGGATATTTTTCTAGATTAAGTATAAATTGTATTATGATAAAATTATTTTTATAATATAAATGAGCATTATATTTATTTTTTATTAGTTTAAGTTATGTATTTATATGTTTTAAATTTGAATAAACATTATATATCTTTATTTTTTTATTTTTCAAAATTATAATCTACTATCAAATTTGTTTAGCTAACTATCAATAAATATATATGTAAGAATAAAACAATACATTTTTAAGTACCTTCATACTAATGGCAAATGTACAATATTTTTTCTACTAAATTGCCACTTGATATTCTTTTGAAATTATATAAAGCAAATTGTCATTTTAAAAAAATATTAATTAATATGATTATTTTGAATTATAAAATTTATTTATTTAATAAATATTTATTATAAACATATGTTTCTAAAACTACCAAACTATAGTCAATAACATTCATATCAAAACCATTGTTATTGCTTTAGAACTAAATTGAAAGTTCAAATTGAACTGTTGAAATATCAATTAATTTAATTGAAGTTAAATAATTCAATTTTGGTTACTGTAAATATATTGTAACTTGAAAATTTAGCACATAAAATTTTTATATTTTTACAAAAACCGAAAAATTGAATTTTCCAACAAAGCAAAAAAATTTCATTTTCCTACGAAATTAAGAAATCGCATATTCCCACCAAAACCAAAAAAAAAAAAAATCATTTCTCGTCAAAGCTTAAATTTCATTTTTCCACCAAAACAAAGAAATTGTATTTCCACGCAAAAAAAAAACACATTTTCTCACGAGAACCTGTGTTTTCCCGCCAAAACAAAGAAATCAAGTTTTTTTACTAAAACCAAAAAATTTCATCCTCCTGCAAAAACTAAAAATTCATATTATCCCGTCAAAACCAAAAAAAAACTGTTTTTCCGCAAAAATTGCGAAATCATCTATTCCCGTCAAAAAAATTATTTTTTCGTCAAACCAAAATCACGTATTTCTACCAAAACCGATAAACTACATTATATGTCAAAAACTGAAAATTTACACTTCCCATCAAAACCGAGAAATTGCTTATTCATGCCAAAATCGAGAAAATTTGTTTTCCCATCAAATCAAGAAATTGCATTTTCCGCTAAAATTTGGGTTTGGGGATGGTAAAAAATAAAACAATTTTTTTTTGCTGTTATTTATTATTTGGGCTTGGGTTTGTCAAAAAATAAAATAAAGATTAGCAAAGAAAAATATTTGGGCTTTTAATGGGTTTAAGTTAAAAATAATAAAAATTAGTAGATGATGTGTATTAATAAAATATTTTTGATTGGTTGTTAATTTCTAGAATAATTGAGGAAGATGGACGAAGAAGATGATGATAGGGAAAAAGAGAAAGAAGATGTCGATAATATAAAATGTGCTTCAGTTTGTTCTTTTTAAAAAATTAAAAAAATTAAAAATTATAAAACAACACGTAGTACATTATTAAAAATGGCGTGTTTTAATTTTTGTCATCGATATAATGAGGGTTAATTTTGCAGTTATCCCAAAATAATAATATTGGGCTTCAATTTCTATGTAATGTCCATATTAGGTCTTATTAATGAAAAATTTTGATGATAAAAAGAAAAAAAATTTGCCTATGTGTTAAAATATTGAGATGAAGTGTATTAATGAAATGTTTTATTGGTTCAGTATTTTGCTGATGTGTCAGCTTCTAATAACACAAAAAGCTGAGTTGTCAACACATGGAGAGACTTATGGGTTATTGTGTATTGACTAGGTATTTACCTGCGCTATGCTGCGGGATATTTTTTTAGATTTTGTATATATTTTTAAGATAATAAAATTATTTTTATAATATAAATAAGTATTATATTTATTTTTTATTAGCTTAAGCTATGTATTTATATGTTTTAAATCTGAATAAACATTATATATTCTTAATTATTTTATTTTTCAAAATTATAATCTACTATTAAATTTGTTTAGCTAACTATCTATAAATGTATATGTAAAAATAAAACAATATATTTTTAAGTACATTCATGCTAATGGCAAATATAATGTATTTTTTTTTACAAATTGCCATTTGATCCTCCTTTGAAATTATATAAAGCAAATTGTCATTTCAAAAAATATTAATTAATATGATTATTTTGAATTATAAAATTTACTTGTTTATCAAATATTTATTATAAACATATGTTTCTAAAACTAACAAACTATAATCAATAACATTCATATCAAAAACATTGCTATTACTTTAGAACTAAATAGAAAGTTTTGTTTGAACTATTGAAATATCAATTTAATTGAAGTTAAATAATTGTTGTATTGATTCATTTTACTTAATTAGTAACCTTTTCAGTTATTAATCAATGAATCAGACCAACTCAATTAAACTAAATCAATAGTAACTCATGCTATCGATTAAAACAATAATTTTCTCTTTTGTAATTTTGTTAAACAGATCAAATTAAACAATGATTTTCTCTTTTGTAATTTTGCCAAACAGATTAACTAGCCTTGACGTTACTTTTGGCCTTGTTAGCCAGGAAAACACTTCAATTTAAGAAAGGGATAACTTTTGACTATTTCCCCTAATTACCATACGTTTTCTATTTACAAGTACTACATTTTTTTTGTCAACATCTTAGTACGTATTTATAAGTTAATTATAACCACAAGGCCTCCCTATAAATAGTCAGTAGCATATCTTAGCAGCCACATACTCACTCGTCATACTACTTTTTTCTAAATTCTCTGAAAAAACTTGAAACACCCAACAATGGCAGCAAAGGGTTGCAAACTCATTTGCCTCCTTATTTTCTTTGCCTTCGTCGCCCAAGGTACTCTAATTTTTCTATATAATAATAAATATTTATAATTGAATAAAACCTAATACATTCTTTGATCACTGTAAGTCGATATCTTGTATGTTGGATTTGAAACCAAGTAGTAACATAGTGAAATCACTAAGCTATTTGATCATATATACCAAATGTAGTCAAAACAACAAAAAAAAAATTATTGTTTTTATCAACAAGCAATATGTTATTATCATCAATATTTTCTTAGATGTTTTCCTTTTTTGGTTTTAAATAAAACTGTTGGAAATTTGGAAGGATATGGGTGTGACGTTCATAGATTAACTCTGACACAATCGAAGACCGGAAAGATGGTTAAGAACAAACCGGAGTGGGAAGTGAGAGTGACGGACCCATGTACCTGCAGTTTCCTTGACGTAAAGTTGTCGTGCACCGGTTTCGAATCTGCCATAATCATTAATAAGTCGGTGTTATTGAAAACTGGTGACGAGTGTATCCTCAACGACGGACGACCTATCCATTATGGAGACTACGTTTTCAAATACGTATGGGACACTAGCTTCGACTTCAAGATCACCGACGCCACAATCGCCTGCTCTTGAACTGTTTCAAATGTTTAATTCTGTCTTTGGTTCATGTTGGTTTAGTTATTGCTGAGCTCATGAAACTGATGATGTTTACTCAAATATTGTCCGAATCATCATCAACTTGAGATTAATAAAGATGATCGATTGACGTTCTCTCTAAACCACACTATTAGAGATTATTATCTCTGGTTCAATGCTGGTTTAGTTTGGTTATGTTATCCCACACGCTTTGGTGTTTATCTCATTTTAATGAACAAATTCACAAACCCACAAAGAGTTGAAACATACCTTAATTTGAATTTTCTCCCAGAAGAATGAAAAAATTGAAGAAACAAGAAATGAAACTGAAGAAAACCCAAAATTAGATTATTGGAGACGTAAACAAGAAAAATAGCACCATCAAAGTAAAATCATGTTAATTCAGATTGATGAGAGTGTGTTATCACGTCTACGTTAGGCTGAATCTTTTCTCTCTCTTTTTAGATAATAGTATTCGTATCCATGGTTCGGGAAATTCGACAACACATCAGAATCAAAAGCATTTTCAAAGCAAGGAACATTGATAAAAATTATATAATCAACAGAAAATACATCAAAAGGACAATAATCAAACCTAAAAAGCAACCTTCATATTCGAATGACTTGTGGAATGATAACCGTTAAACGAAAACCGATCCTCTCCGGTCGTTTAAACAGTTTTAACAAGATTCTACTCTCTTATTAGCTTGAGCAGCATCCGGATTTCTTCACGGCGGAGACATCTTTACCGATATCGATCTTGTCTCCTTTCGACGGAACATTAGCTGATTCGCTCGCCGCCTCCATGGCCTTCTTGCTCACAATGCTGTGGATCTGAGTGAGCACCTCCGCGAAAGCGTTCTCGACGTTCGTGGATTCGAGTGCCGACGTTTCCATGAAGTAGAGAGATTCTTTCTCGGCGAACGATTTCGCATCTTCGGTCTGAACAGCCACGAGATGGCGGAGATCAGATTTGTTTCCAACGAGCATGACTACAATGTTTGGATCGGTGTGGTTTCTGAGCTCTTTCAGCCACGTCTCGACGTTTTCAAACGTCGAGTGTCGAGTTACGTCGTAGACAAGAAGCGCTCCTACAGCTCCTCTGTAATACGCACTAGTGATGGCTCGGTACCTAGTAAACGTTAACCAAACATCAGAACATAGAATGTTCAAAGTTATACGCAAAGCAAGAAGCTTTTTCAAAGAGATACAGAAAATTCGGTAAAAGATGATGACTTTTGAATCTTTTCTTACACAATGACGAGACCCAAGTTTCTAAAATCAAATACCAATCCAGATCTATGCTTTTGAAATGGTTTAATCCAATGAATCTAAATCAATTGACAGAGATCTAATCTAAAGCTCGAAATTCACTTTTCTTTGGCAATTGAATAAACCCTAAAACCTCATTGAAAATTTTCGAATCTGAGAACAAAGACCTAAAAAAGAAAAACCCAGATCGAGAAATGAGCAATGAGGGAGGATATCAAAAGAGATCTGAGACCTTTCTTGACCAGCAGTATCCCAAATCTGGGCTTTGATGACTTTATCATCAACATTCAAACTCCGAGTCGCGAACTCGACGCCGATTGTGGATTTAGACTCGAGGCTAAACTCGTTCTTCGTGAATCTCGAAAGCAGATTTGACTTTCCCACACCCGAATCACCAATCAGAACAACCTTGAAGAGGTAATCGTATTCGTCATCTGCTCTATAACCCGCCATTGATTCTCCTTTCAAAGCTCTGATTCCAGAAAGCCAAAATGGAGGAGAAAGATAGAAATGCTTTTGCGCTCTCTTCTGCTTTTTTCAAATTCAAAAAAAAAAAAAACAAACCTAATGAGAGATAGATTTTCTCTGAAAGATTTTGTTAGCAAGATCTTTTCGATTTCTACAGAGAAAGACGCGGAATTGAAAATATCAATACGAGAAAGAGAAATGACTGTGTTTATGTGTCTTTATCACAAAAATAAATGTTAACGAAATTACTAAAAGCCCTTGCTGACGCGTTTGGATCTAATGCTTGTCTGTTTCAACAGAAGCGAGGATAGTTTCGTCATTTTCGACTCAAGCAGAGAGATATATTTGTTTTGACAAAATTAGTCACGGCAGCGTCTGTAGTCCAACGGTTAGGATAATTGCCTTCCAAGCAATAGACCCGGGTTCGACTCCCGGCAGACGCATTTCGAGTATTTTATCAACTAAATTTTTTACTACTACAAAATATAAAATTGCGTCTGGAGCGCGTCGAACCCGGACCTCTTGGGCTGATTATAGTTATGACCATCAGATATTTTAATGCTGAATAATATGACGTGGCAGGAAAAAAATGGTGACTATAAAATTGGAGAGGTCTCTTTCGCTTTCTCTAACAAACTAATATCGGAGAGTCAAAACGGAACAGAGGACGACTCTTGAAGGACACCGGCGCTTCTTCCGCCGGTAACCTCCGTGAAGCTCATATCGGCGGTCATCGATTTTGTGCTACCGCTGATAACTTTTTCGGAAGCGACTTTCAAGTTGACTCTATCAAACGCGACTCCACGGCTCGAGAATGGGTTGCATCGGATCTTCTCAGGCTAGAAATGAGGGCGGAGGTTAGTGGAATCGATTCCCCGATTTAGCTTATCTGATTTTAGAATCGGTCGCTAAGATTATTTTTGCGTAGATGTTTTGGGTTTGTGTTCTCACAAATTTGGCTACCACTTTGTACTTGCGTTGTACTGTTTGTGATTCTTGGAGAGATTGCGAAACGAAATCTCAGTTTCTGAGGTTTCAAGAGAAACCCATTTAGGGATTTTCTGATCTTGCTTGAGATTTAAGTAAACGATTGAAAATCTTGAAGCTAACTCACATTCGTGTCTTTTAGTCCGCAGAATTATAATGCATACTGTTGAACAAATTATTCCGCTGCTCAGAATTATAAAATTCTCTTGAACATTTTATGATTATGTGTGAGAAAGTTGTTGTTATCATCAATGGGTGTGATTGAAATGTTATAAAGAGAACTGCTTAGAAATGTTATCATTCTCTTAATGACAGTCAAAAGAAAGAAAATCCGGAAACCTAAACCGTGGGAACATACTGAGCCAATCACGAAGGCACAGCTTATGAATATGCGTGAGGAGTTTTGGGATACTTCTCCACACTATGGTGGTCAAAGAGGTATAGTTATCTTGTTTTATAATCTGCATTGCGTTCACTATGATGATTTGGGAATTTGAGTAAATTATTGATAAACCAGAGATTTGGGAAGCGCTTAGAGCTGCTGCTGAAGCTGAACTGGAGCTAGCACAAACCATTGTTGACAGTGCAGGCGTGATTGTTGAGAATCGTGATCTAACATTGTGTTGGGATGAAAGAGGTTTGCAAAACACACGTTGCTCAAGAAATCTGATTCGTTTTTTTATTTGTTTCTTGTTGTGTTACCTTAATGGCGTTATTTATGACTCAATGCAGGTGCTAGATATGAGCTTCCTAGGTATGTTTTAAGTGAGCCCACGAATCTGATTCCAGAGCAGGGACAGTGATGACTTCTAAGAACATTGACACAAAAAGCAAAGCTTATAGTAAGTAATAGAAGAAGAAGAAGAAGCAAGAAGACTATAGAATCTGGAGTAACTCTCCCATAGTTGTGTATTCTTTACGTTTAGCAATAGAAACGATATACACTATTAAGTACACAAAACTCTGTATAGTTACAGAAATCTCAAGTGAGATATGACCCGTTGTTGTTGAGGTACATATGTACAGTTACGATTGCTGAAATCATATTTTGGGGTCAAAAATGATCTCATGAACATGACAGTTGACAACTTCTAAGTATTTTGGGGTCTAAGACATATATTTTATTTATTTCTTCCTTTAATTTTATTTATATGCCACTAGGTTTGATACAAAATGATTCTCTCAGTTTTATTATTTCTATCAAAACACTCGAGAATCAAAAAACCTCTCAAAAACATTTGTGTCAGAAATGGTCTTCATCTCTCAAGTCACCATGTCTTTTTGTTCATTGGATTTTGGAGCTATTAACTATCCAATAACAATATTTATATAAATGAGTTAGTTAACTTATATCAAGTCTTTGTTATTTCCTTGGATTTATAATGCATCATGTCAGTGTACAATAATTAACGGTAGTTAGTTAATTCAATAATTGATGTTCAGTTGATCAGTACTCTGTCCCTATTTATTACTACTATGCAAGCTGATGGTTAAATGTTACTAACCTTAGTCGTTTGAACGAAATGATTGGATGACAATGAGTTTACTATGATTTTAGAGTAATTGATAATTTGATATTGCTTATGTAAAAACTAAAAAGGGCGTTAACTGTTAACTACATTTCGTTGGGTCCTAAAAAGACAGTTATTGCCTTTATTAGAAAGATTTAAACAGATAAGGGCAAAGAAGACCTCATAGAATAGAATCAACAAGTAATACTTTTTTGACGAGACACCAATAATTTCCCAATGAAATAGTTAGATACAAAATAACTGTTCATATTACATATTACTACTGTTTCAGTGCTTTGTATTCTTAAACCATTTTACTGAATTGCTTTAGAAAAATGTATGCCTCTTTAGAGAACATATGCGTTTGTTTAGTGATCAAATATAAATATAATATCATACAAATAAATTTAACAGGCCCCCAAGTTGAATAACCTAATCATCACTAAACGTGCCCACGTGACAGGGAGATTGACCATCGTACCATAATTATTACCGTCCTGAGTTTTTATATATTTATGTTTTGTTGCTTTCTTATTTTTTTTTGTCCAATTTCCTTTTTCCCAGGTCATAGAAAATTTCTAGTTTTCCATCATTTTGAAAACCATTTATGTACTTATTTGGTGATCCTTTAACTTGTTCTCTCTTTTCAGCATTCTTACATGTAAATTTGACTTTTAAATTTAAACAAAAATCTCACGCTAAAATTACGATAACACTTCCAAAACCTATACTCGCCGATTAAATTAGTCACAAAACTTTTAAAACATTAGTTAAAATTTAAAATCTTAGTATAAGTTAAAACCAATTTTTTTTTAAAAAAAATGAGTAGCTTCTATTGTTAGTCAAAAAGGCTAACATAATTATTACTTTTTACTTACGTTTACAAAGTACACAAAAGATTCGACTTGGTTTTCTAACTCTACAATTCCGAACAAAAACACACAAAAAGGTTAGCAAAATTCAAAAATCCGAACTTTTTGGTCTGCATTTTTTTTGAAAAAACCAAACTTTTTTTTTTGGAATGTGTACGTTATTTTTCTTGTCACCATTTATTGATTTTTTAATAATTAATTATGTTATTCTTCACTTCCCGCAAAGGGACAAACCGCTTTATTGGCAATGTGCTCTGCTTCCTCTCATAATGCCTCTATGTTCGTGTCTCTAAACCAGATCTCAAAAAACCCTTCTTCTCTCAAGATTCCCACTCTTTCTCTAAAACAGTAAAAAAAAATTAAAACCCATCAAAACTCTCTCTCTAAACTTTGCACACAGCGTTTTTCTTGCTTTTTCCTGCCAAAAACAATCGCTTTCTCCAGAGGAACCGCTCAGGTTCTTCTTGTGAGTGTTTGGTGAAGTAAAAGAGGAGAGACATCTGTGACTTCCTTTAAAAACGGTGTCGTTCTCTTTTCTCTCTTTCTCTGTGCGGTGGCTTCCCACTTGCGATCTCTCTCTATCTTCACTCTTTGAAAGTTTGAAACGGACCCTCTTTAGTTTTTATTCTTTTTGGTTTCCAAAACAAAAAGTTTGAATCTTTTGTACCAAAGAAACAGAGCTTTTGATGATTATAGCAATCTGGGGTTTAGTTTTGATTTCTTATTTTCTACTTTGATAACTGAAGAATCTCTAATTGATTCTTCACTTATTCTATCTTTAATTTTGGGAATCTTTTTGATAGCCTTTAGGGTTTCTAAGAGCTGTAATGGTTTATTTTGGGAAACTTCAGTGAATCCTGAGGTGATAATTAGGGCTGTTACCAAAGTTGGTGAAATCGTTTTGAGATTTTGGAAAGTTCAGAGATTTCCACACAAAGAAAATGAGATACATCTCGATTTGGTTCTTGTATAGATACTTGGACAAGCTTCTGTCGAAGAAAACAGAACATTTCTTCTGATCATGACTTCTTCACGGATTCTGAGAGATTCAAATGGAGACATCGGTGAGCATCTTCGTAACCACATTCACTTAACCAACTGTATTCACTTGAAGAATCATATGCACAAGAACAAACAGAGTTCGGTTTTAACAGACCGGTCTCTTCTTATGAGAGATCTCGTCGTTCTTCAGAGATCAAGATCGCTCAGGGACCCATCTGCGAGCCCGGATTCACATTCTTTAACCCTTGATTCCAAAGGTTTGATGCACAAGGAAGGAAGAAGAAGATCTGTTGATCAGAATGTGGTTAAGAAATCTGGTCTTAGGTTGTCTAATTCGTCTCCGATGGTGAATTTCGGAACATCTAAAGTCACTCCTTCTGATGAAATGTTTGAAGGGTCGAGTAGGAAGGGTTATAGAGCCGAAGATGCGAATGAGGTTTACAGTGTTGCTTCGGTTAAATCGAAGAATAGGGTTGTTAATGATGCTACTGTCAAGACTCTGTCTGATCAGTTAAACGAGGTTTTAGGCGATAGTGATGATTTGGTTTCTTGTAAACGCCGTAATGCTCGTAAAAGGCGGAGATTTAGAGGGACGAGGAGAGCGGCTCGTAAGGTTAATGTTAGAGACAGTGCTGGTAATCATAAGCGTGAGGTGTCTCGAGGCGAGGAAGAAGATGAAGAAGAAGAAGAAGATAGAGAACAGAACATGAACAGAGCTGCTCCAAGAAACGGTTGTGGGATCCCGTTTAACTGGTCGAGAATTCATCACAGAGGCAGAACGTTCCTCGATATCGCTGGTCGTAGTTTATCTTGCGGAATCTCTGATCCAAAGGGGAGAAAAAGCGAAACCGATATGCGAATGCTCTCTGATTCAAGCTCCTCCTTCACGAAATCTGATCGCGAGGCGGTTCCTCTGTTAGTTGATAGCGCAGGGAACGAAGAAGGTTGGGAGCATGATTACTCTGGGGAGCTCGGTTTATTCGCAGACGATTTGCTCAAGAACGGGAAAGATTCAGACTTTGGCAACCGGAGAAACGCTCGGCGGCATCAGAGCTTTACGCAGAAGTACTCGCCGAGAACATTCCGTGATCTCGTGGGACAGAGTTTAACGGTACAGGCTCTCTCCAACGCCGTTGCTAAACAGAGAGTTGGTCTTCTCTATGTGTTCCACGGTCCAAATGGAACAGGGAAGACTTCTTGCGCACGGACCTTTGCTAGAGCTTTGAATTGCCATTCCACGGAACTGTCAAGGCCCTGCGGGAGATGCAGTTCTTGTGTTTCTTATGATAATGGCAAGAACAGGAACATTCGAGAGATGGGTCCTGTGAAAAATTTCGACTTCGAGAGATTGTCTGACGATATGATGATGATCTCTCAGCAGAAAAGGCAGCACCTTGTGTTCATCTTCGACGATTGTGATTCCATGTCGACGCATTGTTGGAACTCGCTTTCGAAAATCGTTGACGGGGCGCCTCGCCGCGTGGCTTTTGTCCTCGTTTGCTCGAGTCTTGATGCTCTGCCTCACATCGTTGTTTCGAGGTGCCAGAGATTCTTTTTCACTAAGCTCAAAGACGCTGATATCGTCGATTCTTTGCAGAGGATTGCGTCGAAGGAAGAGATTGATATCGATGAAGACGCGTTGAAGCTCGTTGCTTCGAAATCGGATGGTTCTTTGAGAGATGCAGAGATGACTCTAGAGCAGCTGAGTTTGCTCGGAACAAGAATCTCTGTTCCTTTAGTTCAAGAAATGGTAGAGTTCCAAACTTTTTTTTATATATATGTATGTATACTTCAACTCATTGAATACATTGGCATTGACATTGACGTTTCAGGTTGGGTTAATCTCTGATGAGAAACTAGTTGATCTTCTTGATCTAGCCTTATCCGCCGATACCGTGAACACCGTGAAGAATCTGAGGATATTAATGGAAACCGGAGTCGAACCATTAGCTATAATGTCGCAGCTCGCAACCGTCATAACCGATATCCTCGCCGGAAGCTATGATCTCGGTAAAGAACAGCACAGAAGAAAGTTTTTCCGGCGACAACCACGTGAGTTTTTCAAACAGTTTTTCCTCATTCTAAAAATATTTCTAACTGTAATAACTGATTTTTCTTGTTCTTGTTCTTGTTCTTGTTGTTGTAGTGACTAAAAAGGATATGGAGAAGCTGAGACAAGCTTTGAAAACGCTGTCGGAATCAGAGAAACAGTTGAGAGTATCCAACGATAAACTAACTTGGCTCACTGCTGCGTTGCTTCAGCTAGCTCCTGATCAACGATGCAGTTCTTCCGCCGATGCTAGCTTTAACCGTAGTCCGTTAATGCAGGATCTGAATCCTTCTAACAAAGCTGCAGCGGAAGGTTTCAGAGACTGTAATGGACAAGGTTTAAGCAGCAAGAAACGGCCTTCCGTTGAAGATATTTGGTTAGCGGTTTTAGATAAAGTTCGAGTTAGTGGTTTAAGAGAGTTTCTTTATAGAGAAGCGAAGATCTTTTCGATTAGTATCGGTTCAGGTAAAAGAGCATATTCATAATCCAAGAAAGCGTTTAGGTCGATGATTGATTCTGTTTTTAAACTTTTTTTTTTACTGTGTTGCAGCTCCTACGGTGCAGTTAATGTTCGATTCGCTGTTAGGGAAATCTACGGCTGAGAGTTTCGAAGATCACATTTTGAGAGCGTTTGAAGCGGTTCTTGGATCTCCGGTTACTCTAGAGATGAGAACCGAGTCAAAGAAAGACGCGAGAAACGCGAGTTTGTCGCCGTTTCATGATTTAAACAGCCGTGAGAGATTCCGTGAAAGCGGAAGAAGCGAAATCGTTGAGCTGGATGATGAATCTGAATCTGGAATGACTCGAGTTAGAAGGAAACACTTGGAAGCTAGCAAGAACCAGAATCAGAACCAGAACCAGAGCATTGTGAGAGGAAAAGTGTCGTTGGCTCAAGTGATTATGCAAGCTGAAGGAAACAGTTGGCCGAAACACAAAGCTGTTTCGGTTGCAGATAAGCTTGAACATGATAATCTGTAAGAATATTATAATAGCAGAAACTTGTTCCATCGATTTAGACATTTTTTGAAAATTTTATAACTCGTTTTAATTTTGCAGGAGACTTGAATCTAGATCAAGAAGCTTGATATGTTGGAAAGCGTCGAGAAGCGCACGTAGCTTGAAGGTAAACAAAACACAAAGCCTTAACACGAAAGTTTTCATCTTTAGGCTCTTTTTTTGTGGTTAATCTCTCTAATTGAAAAATGATTTTTTAAAAAATTGTAGCTTTGGAGATTGAAGGTGAGAACGAGAAGGGTACGATTACATTCGTTGTTGAAGCTTGTCTCGTGTGGGAATAATTTATCAACGAGATCTCCTTCTAGATAGTTGTTTTTTTTTTTTTTTTTATAAACTTTCAGTATGAAGAAAAATGGTTCGTTCTTCTCTTCTTTGATCATAGGCAGATTTTTTAATGTAATCTTTGTAGCTATTTTAATTTCAAGAAAATCTTTTTTTTCAACAAATGAAGCTAAAATTTTCGTTAGATCGATATAATATACTTTCTCGGGTATAATAAAGTAGCAACAGAAAATGACAATGAGAAATTTGGCTATAAAAAGGGAAATTGGGTTACATGTAATTTTATATGAATTCCATTGATTATATATTTAATAGAAGTATGTTTAGCATCAAATCCGATGTCGTCCAGCGGTTAGGATATCTGGCTTTCACCCAGGAGACCCGGGTTCGATTCCCGGCATCGGAGCTTTTTGAATTTTGTTTTACTTCTTTTCTCAAACTCAGCCACTCTTTTGGCCAATGCCTAAAATTCATCAATTTTACTCCCATCTCAAAACAAAAATAGCTTACAGAAAGAGACAGAGTAAAATAATGGAACCACAAGACAAAATGATTTCAGAAGATGAAAATTTTCTATTTTACAAAAAAGCTTTTATATCAAAGATCTCTCTGTAATGTTATTATTCACATTCCTCGAATTCCACCAAAACGTCCTCCCATCTCCAATCTTATTACCACCTTTATCATTCTCAACATCTCTTCTCTCAGACTGAACTTCTTGCTGTTCGATCGATCCAGGATTCTCAGTCAAACACTGCTCCCAAAAGACATCGTTAACTCCTGTTTTCGGAGCAACCGCTGTTACAGGCTCCGAGTTCATATCAATCTTCGTTGATTTCGGTCGGGTTTCGCCATTACTTAGACTCTCCGCACAGCTTATCGACTCGTTCACGTCAAGATCCATGCTTGATGACTGCACACCGCTCTTATCATACGATGATTCCGTCGCGAGATTCTCCAAAAGAGTTAACGAAGACTCTAACTTCTCGACCTGCTCTGCGTGTGACCGAGTTGCAGGAACAGAACTCTCTTGTAGTTTCCTTTTCCGTCTCTCGTGCGTTTCAAGGTTTAGAGAAAGTCCTGGCTTTTCAAGAACCTGTGAGACGAACGATACGATTGATCTCTGACGCTGCTCCATGTGCTGTAACCGCTCTTTCAACGTTGTTGCTTGCATCTCGAACGCTTTACGTTCTTGCTCTTGGTTTCGTAAATCCGTTAGAAGAGCTTCTTTCTCCTTCCTCAGCCTCTCGATCTGATCCTTCATGCTCTGTCTCTCTGATTCCGTCAGAGGGTTCAGAGCTTGTAGGTTCTGTAAGGAGTGGCTGTGAACCGGTTTTCGTCTGTGGATGTTCTTCATTAGGTAAGGTTGGCCTCTGAGGAAGTCTTCATTTGCGAATTCCCATTTCTCCGGATCGATTTTCCTGAAGCCCTATACAAAAAACACAGAACACAGAATGTTAAATAATTCAAGAACACAAATATATCATTGAAACAAAGGATAAAAGATTTTACATATGTGTTAAGCTGGCGGATGAAACTGGAGAAGTTCTTGTGCTTGAAGAATTTAGGAAGAAGGTCTTTTGAAAACTCTGCTGGGTTCTTGACGATGAAGCTTTTGTTGTTGTCGCTCCAAGAAACGATTGAATCAGAAGAAGAATCATCTACCATTTCATATGTTTTAATAAGGAAAGGTGGAAGTGAGCTTGAACCTCCTCCACTGTTTTCATCCATCTCTTGACAACTTCAAATCCAAAAATCTCTTAATGTTGTCACCAAAACCTGAAAAAAAGAAAGAAAAAAACTAAGATTTTGAAAGCATAAACTTTTATATTCCATTTTAGGGTTAGATCTCTTGAGATTTAAGGAAACACAGCATTGACGATCAACGCGTAAGGATTTTATTGATAAGCTTCGAAATTAATTGAGTGGGAGAAACTAAAAAAAAAACAAATCCATCAATGTATCAAATTGAACCACCAAATGAAAACTTCAAATGAATTCACAAAAACCCTTAACGCAAAAACCCAGATTTAAGCCAAAATCTAACCGAAGTCGAAAGAAAAGCGAATTTAAACAAAAACTGTCTTTCTTCTCCATACACAGCTCTTGATTGCGGAATATATATATATATATTCAGACAGAATCAATACACGATTCGAACAACAAATGAATCTGTGCTCTCATGTTCCTGATGCGGAATCGATCATACGTACCGATAAAGACCAGATCCCGATGGGCGCAAATCGGAAAAAAAAATCCTCAAAGTCTGTTTGATTGATTGAAGTTTAAGGAGAGAGCCGTGAGATATTAAAGGAAGGAAATATCGGAGAAAGACGAAGAGAGAAGAACGTAAAGCAAAAGGGGAATTCGAATTTGAGACTTGAGAGGCTTTGCTTTGGCTTTGGCTTCCAAAGGTATGAAATGGCAATACAACAACTCGACGGGTTTGGTGGTCTTATTATTGTCTTTTGTCAGCTCTTTTTTTCTCTTTTTATATTCTCTCTCTCTCTCTCTCTCTCTCTCTCTCTCTCTCTCTCTCTCTCTCTCTCTCTCTCTCTCTCTCTCTCTTTATATATTATTTAAAATACTTATTACTTTATGAAATGTGGAAAAAATAAAGTGTATTTCTACCATATATTTTTGAGCAAAATTTATATTAATTTTAGTTTTTACCAAAAATAACACGAAATATCTCAGTAATATTCTTTAAATTTAAGAAATGATTCCTGAAACTCAACTACATATTTCAAGTACAATTCACTATTTTTCCAAACTCGGTGTTGACTTTTCGAATATATTACTCTGTCCACTTTTAAGTTCAAAGTCTTAAAATTTTGAATTTTTCACACATTTTAAGAAAATATTGCAATATCAAATCTAACTTCTCTTTATTAATTAATTTAGTTAAGATTTATATTCTATAAAATATTATTTAGTATGGAATTAAATTTTTTTATATTCTTTCATCTTTGTAAAAATGTTTTCATTAAAAACATGTTACTTAAAGCAACGGAAGAATTATTAGGCTATTTAGCTAAAGGAGAACAATGTCGGATGTGTTGGATATATGATATATCGACCTTTTCATTTTAGTCAAACATGTTGAGCATTTAATTAATTTTAAATTTATTGTTTACAAATAATTACAGGTTTGGTGTTCCATTAATATTTTTTCAATAAAGTGGGAGGGAGTTTTCTGTTTTCTTTTTTTTGGCAAACTTTTTTGTTGACTTAGCCTAATTTAATGTTTGGTCAACGAACAAAGTCAATCGCCTGAGTAAGTACACATCAATTGTTTGGATTTTAACGACCCAGAAACTTCATATGTTCAGCCTAAAGATATGTGCCATTTTTACAAAGTGTATTGGATCTACAAGTTTTTCAGAAACAATATTTATTTGTTAATAAGCCCAATAAAAGCCCATACTTAACTCCATCTATACCTTGTAGACTTGTGGTTCAAATGCAAAACCTTCGTTAAAACGCCACAAACACTACTAATTAAACCAAAAATTAACAAATTGCTTTTCATGAGGAGGTTTTACACAAAGTCATTGAACAAACCAAGCTATTGTTCACTGTCTTCTTAATCAATCCTCTAATACAAATTTAATCAAATCAACTGAATTAAAAATCATAAATTAAATTAACCAACTCTTCCAACGAACTCCTTCAAAGCAACTCTCATATCTTCAAACTTCTCACAGTCGCCATTAAAAAACTCACCGACCTTCTTCAGCTCAGTATCGCTCAAATCGTCGGAAAACGGTTTAATCGGAAACGCATTCTCCGGCTGAAGCGCGTAAGCGTTCGGGTTATCGTCAACAATCACCACACGCCTCAAATCTCTCATCACAAACCCTAAATCCTTCACTAACCTTCCATCGATCTCGCTACAAGCGTCTCTGTAAAAGCTCCGCGAGATCACGCTCCGATCTGGATCCAATTTATCGAGCACAAGCGAAGCGTACTCTCTCAGACCCGCCGTGAAAACCACGATTTGGTACTTCTCTCCGATCTTCCTCAAAAAATCGTCGACTCCTGGCCGTTTGATCACGAAAAACGTTAAGATCTGACCGTCGATTCTGGGCTTCACCACGAAATCGTGCGGAACCTCGGGTTTCTCCATCGACGAGTGAACAAGCGTCTCGTCTAGATCCAACACGATCGTCTTCTTCGTCTCGTCGAACGATTTGCCGGATCTATCGTGAATCAGCGAGTGCGGATTTCGGAGACTCTCGGGTTCGAAATCGTCGCGAGTTTTGAGGATTTTGAATCCTTTGGCTCCGGGACGGCCGTCGAGGCGGGAAAACAAGCAGAGGATGCTTCTGTGACATCTGTTGATCGATTTGTTGATGGAGGCGATGACGGTGGTCGCCGCCGGCGATGGTGTGCATCCGATCTGAGTTTTACGGTGACGGCGAAGGTAGTTTCGTTGGTGACGGTTGATTAATTTCGTTGATCTCTTTATTATGAGTTTCGTCGCCATTGAAGAAACTCAGAGACAGAGAGATGAGTTTGTGAGATTTGGGGGTAGAGAGAGAGAGAGAGAGAGTGATGGTGGTATTTAAATTAGGCTCGGTGTAACGGTTATGTGGTTTTTTTATAGGTTCGGATCCGAAGCTAGATTGGGAAAGCAGTGTTTTTAAGTTTGGACCTACACACGGTGTTTACGTTGTATTATTACCGTTGGGATTTCTATATTAATCTCTCCATTCATATATTCCCAAATTAACAAAATAATTAATTATAGATAGTACAAAATAGAGAAAATACCCCTAAAAAAAGATTTCATACTATATAGACTACTTTAATGGTGAATCAAAATACTGGAAACGCTGTTATATACTATATAATTCGATTGATAAAATAGCATAAGAGAAAAATGTATATACGTTTATTTATTCTAAAGATGGTAAAGTTTATAAAAAAATTACATATAAACTTTTGGGAGACCGAACTTATATATACTAGTTCTTCAAGCATATGATCTCAATCTTACCTGTAAGCAAACTATATATTCTTTTTTTTACCATGAATTGTGTTTAATACTTGTTATTAACTTCTTCTTTTTTTTAACAATTTTTTTTGGGTGATAATTCACTTTATTGTAATAGGTTGCTTTGTTTGTTTTCACAGTAAACACGATAATGCGGAAAGAAAGCTTTTGAGAAGTAAGAAATGAATAACCTAATAAATTGGTTGCTTTGTTTCTTTTCAGAGCAAACACAAAAATATTGAAAGAATGCACTGGAGAATCAGACATCAGAAAAAAAAAAAAAAAATGATTAACATTTTATTTTTAATGCTAATAAGAGATCGGCCTAGGATAGGCAAAATGTGCTTCTTCAGTCGACATCTCGTTCCATATCCATGCATAATTTTCCGAGTGTAGATATTCTAGTCTTGAATTACAGTTACCAACAACAAATATATACATTCCTTTGATGGTGTTGCAATATTCGTATGGTTCCGGTAAAATCTGAATCGCTAGACAAAATTAGTACGTTTTTAGCCAGATTGTCATCATACACCTGATTCAATATTTTCTGGACAAAAAGCCATCATACGCTCTTCTGAAAGAGTTCCATGGCAATCTCCACTAAATCACATTGTTACAGTCGTGCTCTTGGCAAACATAATGTCGATATGGGACACTAATGCTGCTCGATAAAGTCTTGACGGTTATGACATATTACAAACTTGTGACAGACGAGATGGTACCTTTGATCCAGGATTTTAAGGGAAGCTTCTACATTCTCCACCAACGACGGCATTCGATGAGGTGCAACCACTGTTATCTCCATCCCACATCAAAGTAACACAAAAGTCTAGATGTTTTGGCCTCTTGTGCCATTATTAACATTTTCGACGGTAACTTATTAACATTTTGTTGATGAGTCATATAACTCATATTTAAAATTTGGTTGTGAGTACCAATAAAAAAAAAAAAAAAAAAGCAAAATGCTACTCAAACTATAAATATATTCTTACAATTCAACCTACAAAGGAAATTGCATATATTTAGTTAATTGTTTTATTTGATTGTTAGTTATATAACTTACACTAGATACTTTTTAGTTCATATAAAAGTTGAATTAGGCTTTGGATCAAATTGGTCCAACGATAATTCATGAACTAGCCGTTCTCAATTGTAGAACCTGTATATACAAAATTTGAGAACAGACCAAAAAGGATATTGAATCAATCCAATTCAAGCATCTTATATTAAACACATAGGTCACAGTCGAATAAAAAGTGCCAAGTGTCCATAGACTCATCCCAATCAATAACATCATCCACGTGTCATCTAAATCGCATTTGCTCGTCACATCATCACTAAACTCCAATGACGTGTCCATCTCAAGCTGTCCGAATCGCATTTTCTTCATGCAAACATGACACCAACACACTCACATTCCACCATTATAAAACCGAGAGGAAAGAAAGCTACACAAAAAATTTGTATTTACAACAAACAAAAACGTTACCGTTTTCTTTACTAACGAATGGCGTCGAGCGATGAGCGTCCAGGACCGTATCCGGCACGTGACGGAGGAGATAACTTACCTCCGGGAGATCCTACGACGATGGCAACGATGATGATTGACAAAGGAACTGCGATGCTTCAGCCTTTGAAACCAGTCAAACAGATGAGTCTTCATTTGTGTTCATTTGCTTGTTATGGTCACGATCCTAGCCGTCAAATCGAAGCCCATTTCTATGTTCATAGAGTCAACGAGGACTTTCTTCAGTCTGCCGTTTACGACTGCGACTCCTCTAGAACCCACCTCATCGGTCTGTATTTTAAACCACATCATATATTAAAAAACATTTTTTGAACCTTTCATATATTTATTTTTTCCTCCATTGTTTTTTTTTTTCAGTAAACAAAATAATTCTCAAGTCGGAACGGTTCTCTATATGCATGTGAATTTTGTTTGAAGAGACATAACTTATTCTTGCGTATCATACAAGCATTCAAATCTAAAACTATTTGAGAATCTTTTCCAAATTTTGAATCCAAAGAAAATCTTAGTTAAAGAGAGGAGATTCATATTGAAGGGATCTATTGCATCATTTTCAATATCAAATAGATGGTTTTGAGTTTTGAGTCTACACATGCATCGTGCATGCGTAAAGTTTTTAATTGAAGAGTTGACTTACTACGATTGTGCATGTGGTTGTTGTAACTAAATCTCTCAGGGATCGAGTATATTGTGTCGGAGAGGTTATTTGAGAGACTCTCCTCGGAAGAGCAAAAGCTTTGGCACTCTCATGACTATGAGGTTAACTTCTCTATGAGTTTTATAAAATCAAACCTATTTCTAAATGATTATTGACATGTTTAATTTATCTCTTAAGAAACAGAAGCTTGACTTAGTTTGTTGTTACTGTAGATCCAAACAGGTCTTCTAGTAGCTCCAAGGGTCCCTGAGCTTGTAGCTAAGTCTGAGCTTCAAAATATTGCAAAAACTTATGGAAAGTTTTGGTGCACTTGGCAGACGGATCGCGGTAATTAATTTACATTTTGTATACTTTGGAATTACGTTTTGTTTGTGCTAGAAAGTTCATTATATAAATATGTTATGGTAAATAAAGAAGGAACAAAATTCTGATCGAGCACTTCTACAGTTCTACTAGAGATCGTACGTTATATAAAATTGTTATGAAAAATAGATTATCTATTGAGAAGATTTGATCTTTCAAATTGCGTAAATGCAGGAGATAAATTGCCACTAGGTGCACCATCGCTCATGATGTCACCACAAGACGTGAATATGGGAAAGATCAAGCCAGGGCTATTGAAGAAACGTGACGATGAATATGGAATGTCGACGGAATCTTTGAAGGGGTCTCGAGCTGGGATTGTGGGACTGGAGAGGAAAAATCCGATGGCTGATTATTGGGTTCATCACGGAAAAGGATTAGCCGTTGATATAGTAGAGACGGATATGAACAGATGTGCTCCCTTCCCATAAGTGTAAACGAACGATAATATAATGTTTAGTATATCCAACTGTACGAGTCGTTAGTATCCAATGAAATTTGCAAAATAATGAAATCCTTTGTGTTGTGTTGTTTTGTATATATGTAATGCTATGTGTTCGAAAATATGGTTAAGGGTTTTACTAGGTTTATCGAATTTTTGATTTTTGTATAAAGATTTGTATGAACCAAACAAAAATTGGCCAGAGAAATTCACATGATTACATAGCGGCCAAATAAAAGATGAGTACACTCGCAATATAACTCTCTCAAGCTTTGCCTATGAACTCAATGTCAAAGAGAAGAACCGAAGCTGGAGGAATAAGGCATGAGCCTGCGCAAAAAAATACAAGTTTAGGCTTCGTGTTTAATTAGTTATTTAATAAATAAAAACTATTAACATAATTTGATTAATCAAGAAATGTTTTTAGCCTTTTCTTGGCTTTTCGTTTTACCTCCTTTGCAACCTGCGCCTCGATCACCATACGCGAGCTCTGGAGGAATTTGCAATGTTCGTTTCCCACCTGAAAGATCAAAACCAAGCACAAACTAATTAGAGCAACAATATTGACAAAACATAACAATGTTTCCATTGAAAAGAAAGTTCACTCTTCAGGAAGCTAAATCATATACATATAGGTCATTGGTTCGATTAAATTAGTCATAACTGGAAATAATAATTGGACCATCCCCCAAATTAATCCTAATTTCTAAAGTTTCATTGAAGAAACGGTCTAGAATCGTGTCATCTCCCTACGCTCTCTTAAACATTTAAATTTAGATAATTGTAGCATAACGGTACATGGTTATAGATATTAGGATAAGAACTGTAAGATAATTGTATTTTTGGAGATTTAAGAATTTAATTACATGCATGTTCACCACTATTATTTGATAATCAGGTGTAATTAAAATACATGCATGTTCACCCTTACAAAACAGTAATTAATATTGAACAAATCTCTAAATCACTACCGGTATGAATGAAAATGTATTGAGATTAATTACCGGTAAGCATTGGAGGAATTCCATCAGAGCCAAGGATTCCCTGGTCCCAACCTCTAATCACCTGTATAATTCAAGTGTTTCTGAGTTTCACATAATATTAAGCAAAAATGTGTGTTTAGCAAAATATTTATAAAATTATGACATTACCTCACCAACACCTATTCGGAAAGTTAGAGGCTTCCCTCTGTTATAGCTACTATCAAAGACTTTCCCATTCTCCAACTTCCCTACATAATGTGCCTGCAAAACAATATTATTCAAAAATCATAAAGAAAAATGCAAAACTTTTAATGTAATCTGAGATATACAACTAATTAATTATTTAATAACCTTAATTAGCTGTCCTTTAACAGCCGCAGGACCATATCCAACAACTTTATCACAGAAAGCAAGACCAGAAGGAGACACAGAGAATTCACAAGAAGTTGTTTCTGCTAATGCTGAAACATTATCAACAAGACCAATATAGAAACCAAAACCAATAATGGCTTCTCTTCTACCACAAGAAGCTAATTGAACAACACTTAACTCAGGATCAGAAGCTTTTTGTTTGCTTCTCAAGTTAATAGCTTCTGCTTTGCTTAAGCTATTATTCACAAGAGATCTGCATTTTCTTTGCTCACTTGGAGGAGAACAAGTCCCAACAGAAAATCCCAAGGTGCTCATTATTTTCTCTATCCAGAAAATGTTCTGACAGAGATAATACAAGAGGTTTTGTGTAAGAATGGCATCTTTGGAATATCAGTCATCCTTGCTGGCAAACAAATGAACCACACAAACTTGGGCCTCATTTGTAGCCCATTTTCAAGATTAGAAGCCCAATTATGAATAAAGCAGGGGACTAGGGGAGTTGTCAATTGGAATAGAAAATTTTAGTTTCATCACACATTTCATTTCATTTGATAAAACAGTAGTAACTCCAAATCATTAACATAAAAACACTTATCACATCACACACAACACAAACCAAATTTGACATCACTTATTCTTCATGAGTCCAAACTCGGTTACAATTAAAGAACTATCAAAAAACACTTATACAAGCAAAAGAAACGAGTTTCTTTCTCTCTTTAGAGTTTTGCAAGTTGCTCAATATCATAAGGATGAGCATCAGAAGCAGCTTCTCGCCTAAACGATCTTCTCCCGATGATAACATTCGCAGCTTCACCGGGATGAAACGCATCCCAAAACACATATTCATTCCTATTCAAACATGGAGCTTGACCAGGAAGACAAGTTATCTGTCCATTGTTCCTCCCAACTCCACAACATCCTGCATTTGTATTTGTAAACCCTGCAAAATCCCAAAAAAAAAAATCAAACTTTTGAGCAAATTATCATGAAAGAGAGAATTTGTTTAATTTGATCACAGTCTTGAATGATGCTATACCGTAGCGAGTAGGGTTTGTAACGATATCTTGGAAGACGCCATATGCGTTGATGTAAGTGAATTTTGCGTCAGGAGTGTTTCGGTTAAACTCGTCGACTATAGCTATGAGCTTGCTGTTGAAGATCCTGTTCGCTGAGTTGATCCTCTCGTCACACGTTCTCCCATCTCTACTGTTCTGAGCTAGCTGGTTCGGGCTGCAACCGATCGCACCAACTCCTATTAACGCGAACTTCCTGGCTCCGTTGTTATACAATATCTGTTCCATCACAAACAAAACCGTCAGTCTCAACCCAAAAAAAACAGAGGAGGGCTAGAGAAACAGAGGAGAATGACATAAAACAGAGTGAAACTTGAAAAACACAGAGCTACAAGAAAAGAAGAAACTTTAAAGAAACAGAGAGGACACTAAAGAAACAGAGGATGTAACTAAGAAAACAGAGGACTGAGAATGTAGAGCTTAAGAGAGTGGTACGGACCCGGAGCTGATCGGTGTAACGGGAAATGAGATCGTCGCCAAAGGATTCAGGGGTGAACTGGTTACCGGTAGAGTAGAAAGTGGGCATGAAGTAGTTGTTGAGGTAATCGTTGCTGCCTAAACCGATCGAGTAAATGCATTTGCTGAGGTGACTCGAGGCTTGGTTCTGATCACCGAATAAGTTCACTACTTGTGCCACAGTGTTCACGTGATTTGCTACTTGCCCTGCAAACGCTATTCTACCTCCCTGAGACGCAAAAACATCAAAAATGTCGAAACTTTAGAACAAGAGCAAACCGAACCAAATCTAATCGCAAACCAGAAGAAAATTTACTATATGAAGAATATACTCCCAAATTTTTATATACACTCTAAATAGGTTTTTATCATATTGAAGTATATGAAGTTATTTCTGTCCAAAACATAACCAAACTAAACAAAAACAAAAATTTTGCAGAACCGAACAAAAACAAACCGAACCAAATGAAAGAAATTACCAATTGTCTGCCGGTTTCTTCTCGGATTCCGGCAGCAGCGGAAGCATAGTTAACTCCTCGGAGGATGTCTTCTCCTCTTGTGGTGGCATACGGTGTAATGAATTCCTCAAAACCCAAAAGCTCAGCTATTTTTTTTATTTTCAAGATTACCCAGAAGAAAACAGAGCAAATTAGTTTCTTTCTTTGTGTTTTAGAGAGAACTTAAGAAGAAGAAAAAAACAGAGGAGAATGTAGTTATAGTTACTTAAGACTTACCGATAACATCGACAGTAGTTTGGCCGTTGCTAAACCGACCGGTTGGACCGTTAGGGAAATCTATACCATAAGGAAAGTAATTAGCTCTAGCTAATGAGGAGAGCTGATTATTGTTGCCATTATCAACCAAAGAGTCACCAAATATGAAGTAACATGGTGCGATTGGTTCACTTGCGACAATGTTTATGGTCATAGCAACAACCATAATCATCATCAAACACATTCTCGCCATATCTCTCTGTAAGAACAAGATTATGAAAAAGGGAGAGGAAAGAAAGATAGTTTGATAAGTGTGAAGAACGAAAAATGTGTTTATATAAACATTGTTTTGAAGGAAATGGAGAGAACGAGAAAATGTTATTTTATAAAGTTTTTTAACGGTTGAAGAAGCATTAAATGTTCACGCGGCGATGTTTAAATGTAAAAAGTAAATGAATGTGCGTTTATATATGTGAAATAATTTAGAGTTTTGGTGGATCCATAACGAAAGATGGTGGATACAGGATAGTTAATACTCTCTGTCGAGGTTGTTTAATTTTATTTACTGTGAATAAACTTGTGTAATGTGACGGTTCGATTTTAATGTTTTTGCTTTGGAATTCGAGTTGTTGACTTTTCCCTCATAGTACCAAAGCTCGAGAAAGTTATAAAACTTATAACTCGAGATGAAAAACTGAAGAAAACTTGTTGTTTAACTAAATTAGTGAGTACTCCAATTTGTAGAATTGCAAAATGACATAATTATTCTACTAATCTATTTTCTTATTAAAAATATATATCTATGATCTATCTTTATTGCAATATTGAGCATAAAAAGATTCACTGTTTCAAATTCTTCCAAGTTTTTACAACTTTTCTTAGCCAAACAAAATTTGATCCCTAATCTCGACCAATATAGTCAAATCACTAGACAATAACATTTTATAACTTTTAACTTTGTTTGCCTTGTTTTAGCACAATGCATGTGGAAGAAGCAAAATGACTAATCCTTAAAATGATATGGCATTACGTAACAAACATGACAACATGAAATGAAGGGTCCACACTGTGCATTACATGATCCTCATTCCTCACTCTCTCAACAATACTCAAATCTAACGGCTGAGATCAATCTTGTTTGGTCAAATCAACGGTTCAAAATTGATGTGAAAGATTTGCCATGTGTTAGGAGGATAATACAAAACATTTAATGAAAAGACAGAGAGTGAGTTCCATGTCATGATGATGATGTATCATGACATAACCCTTAAGAGCTGAACTATAGAGTAGTTGAAAGAAATAAATTCTCATTTGCTCTGTTTTTTGCGTATGTTTCTTAAAAGTAAAATCTACTTTGGGACCCAATAAATTTATAAAACCAAGATTCAAACTTTCTGATTCAAGCAGCCACCAAAAGGATTAACAAGGCGAGAGAAAGAGTGGAAAAAACAGAAAAATCAATAAATTTTGTTACTATACAAATTGATGACATTCATCAATAAATTTGGTTCTGACAGAGTGAAATAGTTATAAAAAAAGATGCAACATGTTCAAACAAAGAAAATTTCAGATCTATTCCACCAGTCACCAACCACATGGTTGTTGTATTTATGAACTCTACAATACTATCTATAGAGTCAAGAATCCAGCAAGAGAGACATTAAGCATTGAGAATTTCAGTTTTTTTTATTAATAAAATATTGACTATGGATGGAGAGACTTAAACCAATCACAGAAAATGTAGGATACCTACAATGGCTAGACTTATGTTTTTCAAAGACTTTCTCAAGATCTCGATAACAAAAAGTGGGCTTAGATTGATGAAATTACAATGGATGCAATGGAGGACAACACACCTCGAGTTTCTTCTAGTCTATGAATCTAAAAAAACCTCATCTAACGAACAAACAAATCGTTTTCTAGTCTAGATATCTCTTATATCTTACTTAGCAAAAGATGTAACTAACAAAATGGTTCTTGCGGCTTTGCTAGAGGATTTGGCTTAATGCATAAGATAGTACAACGTGCCAAAACGTACATGAAAGCTCTGGTTCTGTAGCTATAGTTCATCTGAGGAAGGGCTTCGAGAAGAAAAGTATTGTAGAGCCATGTCCTTTGCGATTTGAAGCAAACTCTTAACGTCGTTGCTACCAACTTCGAGACAGTCTTGTAGTAACTCTCCATCGACTACTTCAGCTTGCACCATCTCCCAAAACTCCCTCAATGCACCCTAACAATCATTTACACAAGAAACACAACAATGAAGGTGTAAATTTTCAGCCTATAGAAGCATAGCACAACATGGAATGACTCTAGGCAAAGACTAAAACTTCAATAGCAAAAGTTTCCATAAGATGGAACAACTTTTTTGTGATTGAAGTCTCAAATATGAATTTTAAATAACCATCAGTTACAAATATCAAAGGGAGCTAATAACAAAGACAACTCTCAAGCTCACCTACTCAACAGTCAACACATAAATACAGAATACCAATTACAGAACAAGTAGCAATAATTAAAGTATCATTCTTTTCTCTATTCAAGCAGATTTTGCTTCTTCCCTTTAGTGTAATATCTATCTGTTACGAGAATCAAAGTGAGCTTGAGACCTAATAGAAGAAAAGACAACTCTTTAGCTCACATATACACAACGCCATAGATAGAGAACTCCAATTACAGAACAAGAAGCAAATTATCACTTAGAAACAAACAAACCCATACACGACGTTACTAATTCAAGCAGACTTTCTTCTTCTAATAGTGTAATGAATCAAAAGGATCCATCTTTTAAGTTTTTTTTCCGAAACCGTACCGATTTACCAAAGATTCTAAGAAGACGACGAAGCAGTTGCTTCGAAACTCGAAGGGCTTTTCCATAGCTCCGAGCAACGGAGGTCGCTTTATCAGCATTCGACTCAGCTCGATTGAATTCGGTAACTAAACCCATAAGCTCGTTGAGATCACCGATCGCACCGTACATCTCACCGTAGTCAATCCCTCCCTTTCTCCAAGCGTAATTCCACATGTAATCCCACCCAACGGACCACGCTCTGCTCAGAAACCCTAACCCTAACCCGCGATCGATCTCATCCGCCATGGCTCGTACACGAGACGACCCCAACGCGTCCCCGCGCGACGCGCGTAGGTTCGCGACGCGGAGGAGGAGGGATCGTGAGGTTGAGATTAGGATTTTGTACTGCGAGAAGGAGAAAGGGAAAGAGAAGCCATTAACGAAAATAGGTGATGGAGATGAGACTGCGAGAACGAGGAAAAGAACGAAGGAGAGCTTAATCGTCGCCGGCGGCGAGGAGTTTATTCCGGCCATCAGGTTTTAGTTAACGACCGTTTGACTTTAGTCAAATGTCCCGTCGAGAGAGAAAGTGAATTAAGGAAAACGATGTCGGTATAATCTGCTACACACGTGGACCTCGTCCCGGTTCGACCTGGTTATGTACGGTTCAAATTTAGTTACGACCCGGTTCATATGTTGTAATCCTCCAATTTGGTTCACTCAAATCTAACACTTAAATATGTTTTTACAAAAAAAAATTAAGACAGAAACAATTACATATAAATAAATATCTATATAAAATTATAGTATTATATAGTCAACATTTTGTTCTTTTTGTTTGTTTGTCAAGTAAATATTTCAAAGATAGGGCTAATGTCAATAAACTGGACCAATCTAAAGATTTAACCTTTTGGGAAGTCATACCCCAAAATTGGGCCATCCCTATATCTTCAGACTTCAACTATTAACAAGTTGGCCCAAATCAAACATAGTCGTTGGTCCAATCCAAGTTAAGCCGCGTTTTCATACTGTTACAAGCGTGAGATTAATTTTTGATCATATACCCAAACATATTGCTGACGAATATAATATACAATTTTGCATATATTTTTAAAATAAAGTGTTGTGTTTTTAACGTATATATTTAACAGATATATATATATATATATATATATTGTCAAAATGATTAATAGAATAAATTTTGTATTTAAAATAAGAGAATAATATGAGTTGCAAAACCATGACCAGCAGCCATACAAAGTGGCGGTTCTTAATTTCTTATCATAAGGGCATCCAAAAATTTCTAGCTAACTTCTTCAAAGTTCAAACGCTTACAGAAAAAAACTATCGTATTATTAATATCGAATAATTAATTTCTGAAAACAGGGAATAAAAACCAATGCATGCTTTTAAGATATAAAAGACCCCTCTTACAGATTACAAATCACACTTACCCCAACACAGACCACATTTCTCTTGGCTAAAAACAAGACAAATAGATAGTTTTATAAAGCAATCAGTTTGGTGATCCCTTTTCTTATAACATTAAACATTGTAATGTTTTGATCTTCTTTGATTTTGCTTATATTGTTTACTCATGTCTTTGTTAGTTTTCGAACTTCGGTTTCGTCTAAGGTATAGCTTAATTAGTTTTAAAGATTAATTTGTGTATTGTTTGATTAAAAATATCATCATAATTTTTGTGTCCATTAAATTTTGTGTGATCTTATCTATAAACCAAATTCCAAGTAAAAAAAGAATAAAATGCTCGATCATGGGGCTTACTTAGGCTTTGGGACCCTTGCAATGTAGGCTTTGGCAAGTCCTAGTACAATACAAACATCCATGTAAGCACAAGATGTCAAAATATATCAGTTATCTTGGTCAAATTAAAAATTATAAAATATCACTATGATTCTAACCAAGTTGATATGATGTCTCCATCACTAAATTTACTTTATAAGTGAATACAGTAAAATTTATATAAATTAATATTTAATAAATTAATAATCATTATAAATTAATAAATTTTATTGATTTTAAATTGAGTAAATGTAAAAATTAGCAAATTTTAATAAAATAATAAAATACTTATTTTTAAAAAACTCTTAAATAAAAATACAGTTTCAATAATTATATAATATTAATAATTGTGTATTTAGACATATATAAATAATATAATATAGTAAAATATGATAATATTGTTGTTTCCAGTTTATAAATATTGTTTGGCTTATCTTCTAATATAATATTTTCTTATTTAATTTTACATTATTGAAAATATTTTTTATCTTGAATATTACGAATTTGATTCGAAAATATTTCTATAAACTAATATAAAAAGTAATTTATTAATAAATTATTGATTTCATTAATAATTCAATAAATTAATTAAATTTTAAATTTTCCATATTATTAATTTATAAAAGTTTTACTATATTAGTATTGTGATATCGCTTAATTTCAGTAACAAAACTGTGAAAAATAATCGAATAGCCCTAGATTGCTTATTCCACTTTCGAATTAGACATTCTCAAATTGGATGAAACAAAAATAATGTAAATGAGATATTTTATAGTTCAGACTTTAGATCATCAATAAGATTATTTTTATATTTCGCTGAAAAAATCAAGTTACACTGGAGCTCAGTAACGATTCACAAATCTCTATTGCATTGCATGTGTATATATATTTATACCCAGACTACATTACACTAGTTAATCAAATTTTTGTCAAATTCAAAAGCATGAATTAGTAAAGAAAGATTAGAAAAGTACATTGTTTTTACATTTCCCCTATTATAATGGAAATTTTTTTAGATGTTTGCCAAAAAAAAGAGATTATTAAGATATGACGATTCTTGGACGATGACAAAACCAGTACAGAGATTAGAAAATTATGTTTAATCGTAGAGATAAAATATTATAAGGTAAAGACAAATGTGTATGGTCGAATGAAATCTCTTATAGTCCAAGAATAAACGTACAAACATATATATACTTTTAAAGGATACTTTTTTAACCAGCAAAAAATTCTGTAAATTGACATATAACAATAAACATATTCTGCATGTAAATTTGAAGAAAATGATTTTCCAAACATAATTTTTTCACTATGAAATTTTAAAGGGTATAAAACGCAAAACAATTGGACCAATAAACTATAATACCCAAAAAATTCAACCTCATTTTATTGAGAAATTTGATTCAATAACAAACAAAAAAACTATAAACTACAAACTAACCAAATTTTCCCTCTTTCTCTTCCTATATATCTCTCTAAACATTTGGTTAGTTCCTAAATTATATTTTTTGGATAAATTTACCCTTTTATTATTTGGTAATAAGTAGAAACTATATAAATTAATAATATAATAATATTGGGGTCAGGTACAATTATTAATTTATAAATTTTAATAACTATTGATTATAAATTTTGGAACTGAATAAAATTATTGATTTTATAAATTTATCAAATATTAATTTAGATGATAGTTTTCTTAACCGAAATCAAAACTAGTTTTTTTTTCTCTGTCAAACTTGTAAAAGTTAAAGTGTGTACATTGAATTGGAGAAAAACTAGGAAGATTATTATAGATGATGCGACATGTTCGATAGCCTTGATTTACATGATAAATTCTATATTCAATCATAACAAACTATTGGACTAGACGAATTTAGTGTCAAGACAGCATTAAACTATACGGTTAAACTTGAAAAAGGTAAAAACATATTCCAGATGACCTAATACTTATAACAATATAAAGGAATTCTGAATTATTCTCTCTGTATATGGATTAGCTGTCGACTGACTATAGTTCTTGTTCTATCCTATTCTCAACTCCCAAAACGAAAGAAGATAATATTTAGATCAGATTATCTAAATATAGAATGTATAAACTGCAAAACTTTGAATTCTGTTATGAGAGTTGTCGTAGCAAACAAAAAACGGCCATAAGAGTTTTTCCCAAGAAAACAGAAGTCATATGATGAATCTGAATCTCCAATCAAACCCTTAGCCACTTTTTCGTAACCTATACGCTCATTTTTGTTTTCAATTTTTTTTTCTTTTCTAAATTATTCGACAGTAGTGGCACTTGCAATATTCTTCTACTTTATATAAACTCTAATTTATACCCCTATCTACATAATGCATATTAAGATAAATGGCTTTCGCTAAATCATGTGAAAAGTTTAACGCAAGAAAATATCTTGTTAAGACTCAAAAAGACATCAAAGGCCAAGCCATTTCTCCGAAAAGTTTGAAAATTTTATCTACTAGTCAATCACAAAATATTTTTCCATGTTTCATCTTCACTCTCATAATAGAAAACCACTTTTTATTTATATTCACTTTCTAAGAAATTATTCACTTTTACATATTTCTCCAACACAAATATGTTTGATTTTAAAAATTTCTTCTAATGAAGTAAGAAAAAATATAAATGTTTTAGTTATACATATAGTCAAAATCAATTCATTGAAACTACTCTACATGTACCAATTAAAAAATGGGATATTAGAAGTTTATTCTTTTTGAAGTAATAATTCACGATTAATAGTTGATAAAAAAAAGACTAACATTAATCAATAAGTAATTTTACAAAAAAAAAAATAGCTAGATTGATATTATAACTAAGACTTTGCGTAATAAATATGTGATATTATAATGGTTAATAAACATGTGGTTAGTAAAAATCGTCATTTGCGTAAAGAGTTTTAATTTGTTGCTCTTTGTCTAGTATAAATAAACCCATCAGACCCCTATAAACCATTAGGTCTCTAACGTTCCACCAAACAAAAAGGCCATGAAGCTCACTTCTCTCTTCCCTCTCCTCTTTCTCGTCCCTCTCTTAACCTCATGCGCTGAGAAGAAACAGGTTCTTACTATTTTTTATTTTCAGAATTAATTTTTCTCTTTATAATTCTACACTTCAATTTGCATTGATTCTCAATTCCAAATGTCCATTGATTTGTTATCATAGAGGGTTCAAATCCTATAAATGTTTCCTTAATCAATTCCTCTCATTAAATCTTTTCATAATCTTTTTGGAATTTTGTAGGTGTATATAGTCTATTTTGGAGAGCATAAAGGTGATAAAGCTCTAAAAGAAATTGAAGAACATCACCATTCTTATCTTCAATCGGTTAAAGAATCTGAAGAAGACGCCAAATCATCGCTATTGTATAGCTACAAACATAGCATCAATGGCTTCGCAGCTGAGCTAACCCCTGATGAAGCCTCTAAACTAGAAAGTAAGTAAAATCCCAAAGAAATAACAAAACCCAATTTATGTTTTGTTATGATTGAAAAAAAAGGTATTAACCAAAACCCAATTTTGCTGATTTTTATGTTTTATAAAAAATAAAACAGAGTTAGACGAGGTTGTTTCGGTTATCGAGAGCCATCCAAGAAAATATGAAACGCATACGACACGGTCGTGGGAATTTGTAGGATTGGAGGAGGAGGAAACCGATGAAGATGATGTTCCACGTCAAAAAATCGATGTGGATGATGATCGGTTTCGTGTCGGAAGAAAGTTTTTGAAGCAGGCAAAGCATGGAGATGGTATCATTGTTGGTGTTCTCGACAGTGGTAAGTTAAGCTGTCTCTTCTGATTATTTAGAATATTATTGTTTTCTGTTAGTTGCATAAATACCAAAAAATAGGTTTCTAAAAAATTATCAGTTCTTTTTTTTTTTAATTTTTGGACTACACGAGACCAATTCCGTTAAGAGTATTCATACTAAATATGGACTTTTTAGTTTGTAAGAGACATGAAACTGCGTGTTATTTTCTAATTAACATGTTACTTTACTGAAATGTTTAGTTAACATGTTATATTTAATAAAATATCATCCTACTACGTACAATGTTATTTGTAATTTAAAACAAATCATAAGTATTTACATTTTTTTAGGGTTATTTACTTAACTATACTTAGTACAAAAACGTATGGTTACTTAACTATACTTCACCTTTTTTGTGTCAACGAAAATTATTTAACGCTTAGAAAGTCGATAATCAAAAAGAAAATTGGGTAGTTTCATGTGAACCTTTGTGTTTATCCTTACTTTGTATTTTTTTCTTTTGCTCATGTTTCCTCACGCACGCACATACACATATAGGCGCCGAAATAATAGCCATAAGATGGGTTTTCAATATTTTTAAATTATTTTGCTTTAAGTTCTGAGAATAATCACTGTTTCTTTTTGATGAAAACGTATACCAAACTTAACTGGACCTAACTCCAACGTTGATAGTTGAATTATTACGTGACTAGAACATAAAGTGTTGCGTTATGATCAAGAAATTCAAGATTCAAGGAAATTTTGTAGTCTATCTTTGGTTTCATTTCATTATTATATAAATCCATTATTGCTAATTTGTTGCTACTTGCTATATTGAGAGAATAATTTATTCATTTCATATCTTTTTGGGCGGGTGAATAAAAGGAGTGTGGCCAGAATCAAAGAGCTTCAGTGACAAAGGAATGGGGCCCATTCCAAAATCATGGAAAGGAATCTGCCAAACCGGATTTGCCTTCAACTCTTCTCACTGCAACCGGTAAGAGAATTCCTCCTTTATTCTATAAAAATATATATATCTTCACTTTATTGTTATAAGTAAAATATATTATTTTCTGAATCGCTTAAATATTATTCGCTGAATGAATAATTTAGCTGCATGTCTATAGTTTCTTTGTTTTGATAACAAATAGGTGTAGTTTCTTTTGATTCAAAGGATGTTGGCACAATGGCATCTGCTTATCTATAACCTAGAGTATAAAGACATATATATGTGGCAATTTTTATTCTATGGCCTCAATTAGTCAAATTAGTGTTTAAAATTTTAAACTCCAAAGTAGTCAAATACTACGTTAAACCAAAAGAGAAAAAGAGAAAAATTTAGCCGAATATACACACTAGAACTAAAACATATTGTATACATGTATTATACGACTGAAATAGATTAAATTCCGTTACAAAAACAAAATAGATTAAACAATTTTATACGTTCACATCATCTTTGGTTCTTTAGCAAAGATCCAAAGAACCATATGCTCAGTGCGAGAAACTTCTGTCTATATATGATGTGATATATTGTTCTATTTGATCATCAAACCCCCCTCTAAATAGAAAAAAAGAGTAATTAGTTATCTAGAATACAAATGTAAGCTGTGACAAGCTATGAAATGTCAGAATTCTGAAACTATTTTATGAGTTTTCAGTTTTATATGCAACTAGGTTACTACCCGTACGTTCGTGCGGGGTAATGTTTATAAAAATATTTAAGAGATATTTTATAATTGATTAAGTTTTGAAAAATATTTGGGTATTTAAAAATGTTCAGTTGAATTTTGAGAAAATTTATTTAGTTATTTTTGTTTTTAATTTAACTTATACAAAGCAAGATTTACATGTACTTTCGTCCGAAGTTTCAAAAAATAATATTTTTTGTATGTATAATATATGAATCAAAGCTGTTGCAAAACAATAAGTACTCATAGATCTAAAACATAAAAATAATTTTTATTTCTATTAATAAAATAGGTAACTAATTTAATTTACTAAACCAATAAAATTATCGAATTGTTTGTGATTGGTTCGATTTATATTTGATTTAATTTATGTGATTTTAAATAATATGTTTGGTAATATATAAGGATAGCACACAAAAATAAATTAATAAAAAATATTAGAAAATAGGAGATAATGACACCTAAGCTAATACTTTCTGTTTAATATATGTTAGATATTTTTTTAAAAAACAAAGATTCACTTAAATTTTCTATCATATTTATTTAAATTGAATTGCTTAAATTATGTACAAAAAATCTATATATTAATTGCAGGTTTTTAAAACTTTAACTGTAATTAAAAAATAAATAATTAGAAAATTTTTGTATGCTTGCAAGAAAGATAGTGTTTGTTGCATGAATAAATTATTTAACTTTATAACTATTATTAAGATTTAAAAAATTCAAAATTCTGAAATAATGAAACATAAGCCACTAATGCTTCCTGTTTAATATATGTAATATATGTTAGATAATTACTTATAAGCATTTGAAATGAATATCTAAGCATGGTAAATATAATTGACATATTTAACTGATATAATAATATCGTTGTTCCACTTATTATTAGTATGCAATACTAGCAGACGGATATATTCGTTTGGAGATTGTTCTTTAAATATTTTCTAGAGATAATCAGTAAAACTTTTATTGTAAATTGTGAAATCTCACAGAAACTGAGACTCTGAGAATAAGCACATTCAACATATTTTATTGTTTTAATTACACAACCTGTATCATTTTGCAATACTGCATATCCAATCAGAAAATAAGCTTTAAAACATAGATCATTTCATTATTTTACAGTGACGTTATTTCTAAAGATTCCATTATTAGAACAGACAATTTTTTTTTCGTTTTCAAGATATATCTAGCAACATTTCCCATTGAAGGAAGAGTTTCTGAGTTCCACTGTCCAAAACATTAGGTCACAATCTCAATGTTTTGTTCGGTTGCTATGATTGATCTCCAACTTTTAGGCTTGCATCATTCACGAGTCTCCACTCTTTCTTTTATTTCTATTAATTAAAAATACAGAAATATTATATATAGAAATAGAATTATTTCTTCTGCAGACTCTAACTGTTCACTTCTGTAAGCCTGCCATCAAAACCATACAGACAATTATATTCGCTATTTTTATGCATGAGAACTTGGATATATATAATTAAGCTTCTGTAAAAATATGTTTCTTTTTTTAACAAGCTTTGGTATATATGTAAGGGACAAAAACTTATTTGATTCTTTCTAGATAATATTGTACACCCGTGACTTCTCCCTTGTTTGCTTTACCATCAATTCTCATGTTTGTAAATATCAATGTGTGCCCGAGTTTACGAATTACGTGTCTATATACTTAACATGTCTTTATATAATAATTATTATCTTGCTTGTGCATCGTATAAAATAACTACTTAAAACATTTCATTTTATCAACCATATTTTATATTCCGGGTTGATTGAAGCTGGATGAGTTCGTTGTGACATGTTGATTTTTTAATTAAAATTTTTAACTCTTTATTATCTAGAGTGGTTTGGAAAAAAAAAAAAAAATCTAGAGTGGTTGGATTTGACACAAAATAATTAATTATTGCTGTGAACCATGTATATGATTGATTATTCCATGCTTATTAAATTAGATTACGAGGTGCATATTAGTTAACTTCGGTTTCTTTTGTCATCACCTATTATAAACTCTTGCTTCTTTTTTTCACTAATTACAGGAAAATTATTGGAGCGAGGTATTACGTAAAAGGATACGAAAAATATTACGGACCGTTCAACGTTACAGCAAACAAAGACTTCTTATCTCCACGAGATCCTGACGGGCATGGATCCCACACAGCCTCTACCGCTGTTGGCCGCCGAGTCATCGGTGCATCCGCACTGGGCGGTTTTGCCATGGGCTCGGCTTCGGGTGGTGCACCATTAGCTCGTTTAGCTGTCTACAAAGCCTGTTGGGCCAAGCCCAACCAAGAGAAAGTGGATGGAAACGTATGTCTACAAGAAGACATGCTTGCGGCGATTGATGACGCGATCGCTGATGGCGTTCACGTCATTAGCATTTCGATCGGGACTACCGAGCCGTATCCGTATTCGCAAGATGGAATCGCGATAGGAGCGTTGCATGCGGTTAAAAGAAATATTGTGGTTGCGGCTAGCGCGGGGAACTCAGGACCGAAACCGGGGACTTTGTCGAATCCGGCGCCGTGGATTATCACTGTCGGGGCTAGTACTCTTGATCGGGCTTTTCTCGGCGGTCTTGTTCTTGGTAATGGCTATACAGTCAAGGTAAATAAACGAGTTAAATTCTTATTATATATATGTTACACAAAAACTTTTGTATAACACATAGTTTTCTTTTCTTGTTATTTAGACGGACTCGATAACGGCGTTTAAAATGGACAAATTTGCCCCTCTAGTTTACGCAGCAAACGTGGTCGTCCCTGGCATTGCATTGAACGACACATCGTAAGATTTTTCCCCCTTCTTCAAAATCTATAAGTTTTGATGATTAGTCTTCTTATTTGATTTTATATTTAACTGTCGATCCTTGTTTTTGGTAAAGGCAATGTTTGCCGAATTCACTAAAACCGGAGCTTGTGAACGGTAAAGTGGTTTTATGTTTAAGAGGAGCCGGTTCAAGAATCGGTAAAGGTTTAGAGGTAAAACGAGCCGGAGGAGTCGGTATGATTCTCGGGAATTCTTTGGCTAACGGCAATGAAACTCCGTCGGATTCTCACTTTGTTGCAACTGCCGCTGTTACCCCCATGGTGGTCGAGAAAATTCTCGACTACATTAAAACCGATAAAAACCCGATAGCTTTTATCAAACCGGGGACAACGGTTTACAAAAACCAACCAGCTCCGTTAATGACCGGGTTTTCTAGCCGTGGCCCGAACGTGATAGACCCCAACATACTAAAGGTAAACTTTCTTTTGTTCTTTTTAACATCAAAACAAACCGAAACCAACCGGTTTAATTCTCTCTCTTTTTTACGGTTTTTTTATTTACAGCCAGATATTACCGCGCCTGGACTGAACATACTAGCTGCATGGAGCGGTGCGGATCCACCGAGCAAAGTTTCGATAGATCAAAGAGTTGCTGATTTTAACATTTACTCAGGAACTTCTATGTCTTGTCCACATGTTTCTGGTGCAATTGCTCTTCTCAAATCTATTCATCCCAAATGGAGTAGTGCTGCTATAAGATCTGCTCTTATGACCACTGGTAAAACCAAAAAATTCCCGGTTATATGGCTGGTTCGGTTTAGATAAGCTGGAATATTGTTAACTATCTTTCTATGAAATTCTTAATTTTGTTTTCGTTATTGTTGTAGCTTGGATGACCAATGATGAGAAGAAACCGATTCAAGACAATAATGGTTTACCCGCAAACCCGTTTGCGCTTGGTTCTGGACATTTCAGACCAGCAAAAGCTGCAGATCCCGGTTTAGTCTACGACGCATCATACCGAGCTTACCTTCTCTATGGTTGCTCAGTTGGTTTCACCAATATCGACCCGACATTTAAATGTCCAAGCAAAATCCCTCCCGGTTATAATCTCAATTACCCATCAATCGCGATCCCGAATCTTAACCGGACGGTGACCGTTAAAAGAACGGTAACAAATGTTGGAGATGGTAACTCAACAAGCACATATAAATTCAGCTCTAAATATCCACATGGTGTCTCGGTCAAGGCTAAACCGAGTGTGCTGACATTTAACCGGTTTGGTGAAAAGAAACGGTTTAAAATCGTGGTCACGGCACGAAAGGACAAGATGATGAATGCGACTGAAAAGGGTCAGTACCAATTTGGATGGTTTAGTTGGACTGATAACTTCCATGTTGTTAGGAGTCCGATTGCTGTTTCTTTAGCTTGATTTGTTGTTTTCGGGCTATTTTAGTTAGTTTGGATTTTAGAGGTGTTAATCTAAAGAAAAATCGAAGATGTTTTTATTATCACTCTACGGAGTTCAAATTTAAAGAAGTATTATTGTCGTTATTACTTGTGAAGATGTACGAAGAAATTGCAATAAGAAATTACGTATTAGCATGATGAAGTGAATATCATTGGATCTGTTGCAATTTAATTTACGCTTTAATTAATTTGCAGTGAATATATTCGAAATTATATCCAATGTGCAGCGAGATCAAATCCTTAACTGTTCAAATCATTTCCAATTTGAATATTCAAGTTCATTGTTTCTTTATTAGTTCCTCACATTGTCATTTTTCTTTTGGGTTTTGTCAGTGCATATGTTCTATTTTGGAGAACATAGAGTGATATATAAAGCCTTACATGAAACTGAAAATCATTACCAATGTTATCTTCAATCTGTTAAGGAATCTGTACAAGACGCCAAATCATCGCTATTGTATAGCTACAAACACAGCATTAATGGCTTCGCTGTTGAACTAACACATGATGAAAGTACGTAAAAAATTAACCCGTACAAAATTAAAATGAAAAGTTAATTTTTGAATGAAACCAAATTAATATTTTGTTGAGCTTGAATAGTATGTGGTTTTTTTTTTTATGTTTTCACGTTTTTAAAAATCATTATGCTAGTGTATATAATTAGAAAAAAATAAAACATGATTAATCTACTAAAATTAAGGATCTGAGCTGTATGCAGTTTTTTTTCCACATTTTCACACTTTAAAAATGTAATTCCATTAAATTTTATTATTCATATTATTTGTCACGTTTCTTCTTAGAATGGGATTCACTAGCATGTTAAATAAAAAAAAATGTGATTAATTTACTTAAATAGCTTTTTAGCATTTTACAACTATTTAGTAAATATTTTATCCAGTTCGGTTTATCTCACTAACAATTTTTTTTTTAATTATTTTGTTATTCATTTGATACACTAGTCAGATCTTAAGTTTTTCATGTTTTAAAAACATAATTCTATTAATTTTTTTACTAAACAAATTGTTTTTGGTAAATTGCCGTAAAACAGAAAACATATTCTGCATGTATATCTGAGAAAAAGATTTTCTTAACGTGAACATTTTACTATGAAAATTTAAAGGGTATAAAACTCAAAATAATCAGACCAGTCAATTATAATACCAAAATATTTCAACCACATTTTTTATTATATGGTAATACAGATAGACTCCAAGCCGAAATCAAAACTAGTTTTTATCTCTATTTTTCCGTCAAACTTGTAAACAAATCGGATATATTCCATATAAAGTGTTTACATTGAATAAGAAAATAACTATATATGAAGATTCTTATACATGATGGAACTTGTTTGATATGATAGCCTTGATCAGTTGATCTACATGATGAATTCTCTATGTCTCGATTCACTCATAACAAACTATTGGACCAGACGATCTTAGTGTCAACAGTAGTTTGACAGCATTAAACTTGAAAAAGGTAGAAACATATTCCAGGTGATTCTGAATTATTCTCTCTATAGCTGTCGTCTAACTCTAGTTCTTATTCTATCCTATTCTCACCTCCCGATACGAAAGAAGATACTGTATATAAATCAGATTGTCTAAATGTTAATGAAAACTTATCGTAGACTTCGACCAATATGATGAATGTTCGACTATTAGATTACCACAGTTAGTTAAAATCTTATTTGCTGTCACTATTAGACTATTTGCTGTCACTATTAGACAGCAAGAAAAAAGAAAAACAAATACTATATCTAAATCCCAACTAAACTAGTAAAAACATTTTACCATGTAAAACGTTTTTTAGTGGCCAACATGGAGCCTAAATGAATAAGACATATCTTAGACTTCGACCAGTAAGATGAATCTTCATCTATTGGATTACTACGATATAAGTTCAAATCGTCATTTGCTAAGAAATTTTTATTTTCTTTACATATAAAACTTCCATAGACAGTTTGAAGTTGTTGCTCTTTGTCTAGTATATAAATAAACCCATCAGACCCCTATAGACCCATTAGGCCGATGACATTTCACCAAACAAAAAACGCCATGAAGCTCACTTCTCTCTTCCCTCTCCTCTTTCTCGTCCCTCTCTTAGCCTCATGCGCTGAAAAGAAACAGGTTCTTACTATCTTTTTTGTTTTTTTTTGTTTTTATCATTCTACACTTTAATTTGCAGTGTTCTCAATTCCAAATATGCATTGATTTGCTCCCATAGAGGGTTCAAGTCGTATATATGTTTCCTTACTAAATTCCTCTCATTAAATCATAGGTGTATATTGTCTACTTTGGAGAACATAAAGGTGATAAAGCTTTTAACGAAATTGAAGAACATCACCATTCTTATCTTTTATCGGTTAAAGAATCTGAACAAGACGCCAGATCATCGCTATTGTATAGCTACAAACATAGCATCAATGGCTTCGCAGCTGAGCTAACCCCTGAAGAAGCCTCTAAACTAGAAAGTAAGTAAAACCCCAAAGAAATGTCAAAACCCAATGTATATCTTGTTATGATTGAATAAAGGTATTTAACCAAAACCCAATTTTGCTGATTTTTATGTTTAAAAAAAAAAAAAAAAAAAACAGAGTTAGAAGAGGTTGTTTCGGTAATCGAGAGCCACCCAAGAAAACATGAAACACATACGACACGGTCATGGGAATTTGTAGGATTAGAGGACGAGGAGAAACCCGACGAGGTTGATGTTCGACGTCAAAAAAAAACATGTGGATGATGATCGGTTTCGCGTCGGAAGAAAGTTTCTGAAGCATGCAAAGCATGGAGATGGTGTCATCGTCGGTGTTATCGACAGTGGTAAATTAAACTGTCTCATTCTGAATATTTAGAATATTATTGTTTATTGATAGCAAAATCCGAAGAATAGGGTTTCTTATTTCTTTTTGTTTTCGTGGTAAACTAGACCATTTCCGTTAGAGTTTTCATGCTAAATAACCATACTATAAAAAAAAACACTATGAACTTTTAAGTTTGTAAAAAAACATGAAATTGCGTGTTATTTTCTAAATAACATGTTACTTTGTCGAATAGCACGGTCTTTGTTAAAATAACATGTTATTCAATAAAATTACCTTCTACTTACATTTTTTTTGTAAAAATCGTAATTCTTTTTCCGTAAACGAAAATTGTGTAACGCTTAAAACTCCGGTATAAAAATGAAAATGGTGTACATTCATGTGAACCTTAGTGTTTCCTCACGCACGCACATAAGATGGGGTTTCAATATTTAAAAAATACTTATATTTTGTTTTGAATTCTAAGAATAGTTACTGTTTTTTTGTTTTTGATGAAAACGTTTTCCAAACTTAATTGGACCTAACTCCAACGTTGATAGTTGAATTATTATGTGACTAGACATAAAGAGTTGCGTATATGATCAAAATTTTCAAGATTCAAGGAATTTTTGTAGTAGTTTATCTTTAGCTTCTTTTCATTATAACATTACAAATCCGTTATTGCTTATTTGTGCTATTTAATTGAGAGAATAATTTGTTTATTTCATATCTTTTTGGGGGGTGAATAAAAAGGAGTGTGGCCAGAATCAAAGAGCTTCAGTGACAAAGGAATGGGGCCCATTCCAAAATCATGGAGAGGAATCTGCCAAACCGGATTTGCCTTTAACTCTTCTCACTGCAACCGGTAAGAGGAATCATACCAAATCCTTTTTTCTTCTCTTAAAGAAAATAAATATCTTCACTTTTTTATTTATAAGTCAAATATATAATTTTCTGACAAAAACAGCTTCATTTAGTTGACAGTCAAACAAATAGATATAGTTTCTTTTGATACAACGGCATATCCATAATATAGAGTACGTACAAAGACATATATGTGATTTTATATTTATGCTTTGACTTCAATCAGAATTAGTTAAAAAAATTAAAATTAAAAAAAAAAAAAAAACTAGAGCTATTTGTTTTGATGGAAGGCTTGCAGATTTCGTTGCGTCCGTCATATTGATTTTTATAATAAAGTTTTCAAATCTTTTAAATTATAGCTAGAGTAATTTCTATTTGACACAAAATAATTAGATGCCTATTAGTTATATCACCTTTGGTTTTCTTTAGTCACCTATGAGTTATTTTTATCTAATTACAGGAAAATTATTGGAGCAAGGTATTACGCGAAAGGATACGAAAGGTATTACGGATCGTTCAACGCTACAGCAAACAAAGACTTCTTGTCTCCACGAGACCCCGACGGACATGGATCCCACACAGCCTCTACCGCTGTTGGCCGCCGAGTCAACCGTGTATCCGCTCTCGGCGGTTATGCCATGGGCTCGGCCTTAGGCGGTGCACCGTTGGCTCGTCTAGCCGTCTACAAAGCCTGTTGGGCCTATCCCAACCAAGAAAAAGTATTTGGAAACGTATGTCTAGGAGAAGACATGCTTGCGGCGTTTGATGACGCGATCGCTGATGGCGTTCACGTTATTAGCATTTCGGTCGGGAGTTTCGATCGTTTGCCGTATTCGCAAGATGGAATCGCGATAGGAGCGTTGCATGCGGTTAAAAGAAATGTTGTGGTTGTGGCTAGCGCGGGGAACTATGGGCCGACACCTGGGACTTTGTCGAATCCGGCACCTTGGCTTATTACTGTCGGAGCTAGTAGCCTTGATCGGGATTTCATCGGAGGACTTGTTCTTGGTAATGGCTATACAGTCGAGGTAATCATCTTGTCCACCAATAAACATATCAGAAATTTCTTATTATATATGTTACACATTCGTATAACACATAGTTTTTATTTTGTGCTATTTAAGACGGAGTCGATTACGGCATTGAAAATGAACAAATTTGCACCTCTTGTTTACGCTGGTGACGTGTCTGTTCCTGGAATTGCATTGAACAACACATACACAGCGTAAGATTTGTTACAATGTTTACCTTATTCAAAAAAAAAATTATTTTCGATGATTAGTGTTGTATTTAGTTTTAAAATTTTAACTAACAATTTTTTTTTTTTTTTTTTGTGTGAAGGCAATGTTTACGGAATTCACTAAAACCGGAGCTTGTGAATGGTAAAGTGGTTTTATGTTTAAGAGGAGCCGGTACAAGTATCGGTAAAGGTTTAGAGGTAAAACGAGCCGGAGGAGTCGGTATGATTCTCGGGAATTCTGCAGTACCTTACTCTCACTTCGTTGCAACTGCCTCTGTTACCCCCACGGTGGTCGAAAAAGTTCTCGACTACATCAAAACTGGAAAAAACCCGACGGCTTTTATCATACCGGGGAAAACGGTTTACAAATACCAACCAGCTCCTTCAATGGCCGGGTTTTCTAGCCGCGGTCCGAACTTGGTAGACCTTAACATTCTAAAGGTGAACAAACTTTTTTTTTGTTCTTTTTTTAACTCCAGAACAAACCAAAACGATGCCAACCGGTTTAACTTTTTTACCGATTTTTACAGCCGGATATTACCGCACCGGGACTGAACATACTAGCTGCATGGAGCGGAGCGGATTCACCGAGCAAAGTTTCGATCGATCATAGAGTTGCAGATTATAATTTCGACTCAGGAACTTCTATGTCTTGTCCTCATGTTTCTGGTGCAATTGCTCTTCTCAAAGTTATTCATCCCAAATGGAGTAGTGCTGCTCTAAGATCTGCTCTTATGACCACTGGTAAACCAAAAACAATTCCCGATTATTTGATATGTTCGGTTTATCTAAACCGGAATCTTGTTAAATGTGTTTGAGATTTACGTAATTGTGTTTTGATGTTTTGTTGTTGTTATAGCTTTTATGACCAATGATGAGAAGAAACCGATCCAAGACACTAATGGTTTACCCGCAAACCCGTTTGCGCTTGGGTCTGGACATTTTAGACCAACAAAAGCTGAGGATCCCGGTTTAGTCTACGACGCATCTTACCAAGATTACCTTCTCTATGGTTGCTCAGCTGGTTTAACCAATATTGACCCGACATTCAAATGTCCACGTAAAATCCCTCCCGGTTATAATCTCAATTACCCGTCAATTGCTATCCCGAATCTCCGCAGGAAGGTGACGGTTAAAAGAACGGTAACAAATGTTGGAGATGATAACTCAACAACCACATATAAATTCAGCTCTAAGCCGCCACATGGTTTCTCGGTCAAGGCTAAACCGAGGGTGCTGACATTTAACCGGATTGGTCAAAAGAAGCGGTTTAAAATCGTGATCAGGGCACGGAGGCATAAGATGATGATGAATGCGAGTGAAAAGGGTCAATACCAATTTGGATGGTTTAAATGGACTGACAACTACCATGTTGTTAGGAGTCCGATTGCTGTTTCTTTAGCTTGATTTGTTGTTTGCTTATTTTGGGTTTCTTTGGTTAATTTGGATTTTAGAGGGATCAACGTGAAAGAAATAAAATATATTTTTCTAATCACTCTCTAAATATTCCTTCCTGTGTTTTAATTTTTAAACCAAAGAAGTATGCTCATCGTTATTACTTGTCCCTTAAATCTATACTAGATAAAATGAACTATTTGAGACTCTTTAAGCTATCTACCTCAGCTTTTCAAACTATTCTAAAAATATGATACATCAGCAAAAAATAATAATACAAATTCTCACTTTAGATTGTTTTGAAATACATATAAAATAAATAAATAAAACAAAAATTAATATAGTTAAATACAAGAGTAAATAAATCTAAAATATTATTTTTTGAATCAGTAAAATAAATATTATTTAAATCTATAGCATCAATATATACTCTTTTGTTTGTAATATAACAAATTAACAATAATGAAAATTCTCACTTTAGATTTTTTTGAAATACACATAAAATAAATAAATAGAACCATTAAATTAATATAGTTATTAGCAAAAACTAAATAAAATTATATATCATTTTAATCAGTAAAATAAATATCATTTAAATCTGTAGCATTAATATATACTCATTTTTGTCACTAAAATTAATATAGTTACCAACAAAAGTAAATAAAATTAAAATATCATTTTTTGAATCAGTAAAATAAACATCATTTAAATTTATAGCATCAATATATACTTCTTTTGTTTGTAATATAACAATAATAAAAAATTTCACTTTATATCTTTTGAAATACATATAAAATAAATAAATAGAACCACTAAGTTAATATAGTTATTAGGAATAAGTAAATAAAACTAAATATCATTTTCTAAATCAGTAAAATAAATATCATTTAAATCTGTAGCATTAATATATACTCCTTTTTGTAATATAGTGAATATATTGGACAACAAATTGCTCTAAAAAACTTAAATAATAGTTAATAGAAACAAGATTACAAAATAATAAATTCTAAAATAAAATTTAAAACATTTACAAATTATAAAAATCTAAAACATTCACCTTTTAGAAACATACAGATTAAACATCATAGTACGTTAGATTTATGGCAACCAACAAGACAACATAAATTATAGGAAGCTTTTCAAAGCATCTATCTATATGAAGATTTCGATCATCATTACTATTTACATTGCAGAAATGATAGATAAAAGAAGAATTTCATGCACTGATATTTATTCAATGTGTGTCTTAGTTGGCTTAAGGTAGTCAAGTTACTACAGGCGATACATGTCAACACAGGAGTTAAACAGTTTATAAACAAAAATTAAGTTTTAGATGACAGTTAATTTTTATATATATCAAGTTAGTAAATTTTTAAATTAAATAATAATGCATTTTTGAAAAAATAACATACACATTTTTATGTAGAAGAAAATGTCTAAAAAAATCTCTAATTATCCACATCAACAAAATTCCTTATAAACCCAACTTGAATGAAAAACTAATATGGTTTTTTTTACTGGGTTAAGAAACTCCTTTCAAAATAATATAATATATATTATTAGTTTAATTATAAAGGCTCATCAAAATATATATGTGTAGTTTAAGAAAAAATGTTTAAGTTAAATTACAAGAATTTTTTTTTACATCTTTTAAGTTTTGAGAAATTCAACATACTTTATTTAACATAATGAGTTAGTATGAAATTGTATTTGTATATGTATTACTTGCCTTATTCATCTATATTTTTTATAGTTTACGTATACTTCATAGACCAAATCAAAATTGCATTTTATCAATATGATTGTGATTTTTTATACTATGTAAATATTATTTTTATTTATATGAATCATAGTTATTTTATAGATTTATAAGAGATTAGAACATTGAGTGATGTTTGTATTTGAGATTGCTAATTAAATAAAAACACTACACGAACACAGTTGAAATAAAAATAAAAATCTAAATTTATTGGAAAATTAATAATCAAATTTAGTCAAAACAAAAATAATTTTAATAATATTTTGAAAGTTAGTAATGAATAACAGTGATTTTATATACAAATATTAAATTTTAGATTAACAGTTAATTTTAGCATATATCAAGTAGGTAATTCTTAAAATTATATCATGATACATTTTTTGAATACGTTAAAATATTTTTGATGTATAATCATATCAAAAAAATTTTAAAAATTAAATATTATATTTAAAATATTAACTTAAAGTGAAAATAAATTAACTTAAATAATAATCAAATATCTATATAAAAACAATCCGCGCGTAGCGCGGAAACATCCCTAATCAATACAACAATAACCCATAAGTCTTTCCATGGCTTGACACATCAGCATTTTCAAGCTTTTAGGAGATAACACTTCAGCAAAAAAAAACACCAATAAAAACATTTTATTAATACAAGTCATCAATATATTTTAACTTTTAAATTTAAACTCATTAAAAACCCAAATATTTTTTATTGTTAATTTTAGTTTTATTTTTTGGTCAAGCCCAAGCCCAAATAATAAAAAAATCAGCAAAAAAAATTGTTTTATTTTGTTGCCAAACCCAAATAATAAATAACAACAAATATTAAATTAAATCTTTGTTTTATATTTTTGCCAAACCGAAACTCAAATAATAAATAACAGCAAAAAAAATTAAAATTTCTACCTATGTGTTTGCTTGATAGATACGTATATGATTGAAGAAAGTGTAGACTCATCATCAACTATGGTTCCATAACAACAATGCAAAAAGCCTTATGTTATAAGAAGCTCACACATCAGCAAAAATTTGAACCAATAAAAACATAACAATAATACATATTATTAACACACTAATAAAATCAATTTACTATTTTGCTGACCCATTAAAAAGCCCAAAGTTTACAAAAAAAAATGGAAGGTGAAAGCAAATGAGGAGAAACTCAGACCACCACAGCTTGGAGATTCGCATTTCCACTAGTTACCGAGAACAAATTTTTTTGGGTTTGACGGAAATAGAAAATTTATTGGTTTTGGTAGAAAAATGTGATTTTCAGTTTTGTTAGGAAAACATAGTTTCTCGGTTATGGCGGAAAAAACGAATTCTCGGGTTTGGCAAAAAAATGTGAATTTTTTTGTTTTTGTGAGAAATAAAAAATTTGATTTTAACGAGAAAACGCGAGAGAAATGCAACTTTTCAATTTTGATGAAAAATACGATTTCTCGGTTTTGATAGAAAATGCAATTTTTCGGCTTTTGATGGATAATGTAATTTCTTGATTTTTGCGGAAATTGTAATTTGACAATTTTGTCAGAAAATGCAATTTTCGGGTTGATAAAAAAGCAAAATTTCTCGATTTTGGCGGGAATAAACAAGTTCTTGGTTTTGATAGAAAATGCAAATTTTCAGTTTTTGACATATAATTTGATTTTTTGGTTTTCGAAGGAAAATATGATTTCTTAGTTTTTGCGGGAAATGCAATTTCTCATGAGATAATACAATTTTTGGTTTTCGCGGAAAATTGTAGTTTATCGGTTTTGGTAGGAAGACGTGATTCTTGATTTGACGAGAAAAATATTTTTTTCTTGTTTTGGTGGGAATAAACGATTTTTGCGGAAAAATATCTTTTTGGTTTTGACGAGAAAATACTATTTTTTTTGTTTTGCAGGAAGATGAATTTTTTTGGTTTTAGTGAAAAACTTGATTTCTCTGTTTTGATAGAAAAACACAGGTTCTAGCGAAAAAATGTGATTTTTTGGTTTTTGAGGGAAAATGTAATTTCTTTGTTTTGGTAGGAAAATGAAATTTCAGGTTTGACGAGAAAATGAATTTTTTTGGTTTTGGCGGGAATATGCGATTTCTCAGATTTGTGGGAAAATATTTTTTTTTGTTTTGTCGGAAAATACAATTTCTCGGTTTTTGTAAAATGATAAAATTTCTTTGTGCTAATTTTCAAAGTTACAATATGTTTATAGTAACCAAAACTGAATTATTTAACTTCAACTAAATTGATATTTCAACAGTTCAAATAGAACTTTCTATTTAGTTCTAAAGTAATAGTAATGATTTTGATATTAATGTTATTGATTATAGTTTGGTAGTTTTAGAAACATATGTCTATAATAAATATTTGATAAACAAATAAAATTTATAGTTTAAAATAATCATATTAATTAATATTTTTTAAATGGTAATTTGCTTTATATAATTTTTAAAGAGGATCAAGTAGCAATTTAGTAGAAAAAATTAATTACATTTACTTTTAGCATTAAAGTACTTAAAAATGTATTGTTTTATTCTTACATATACATTTATAGATAGTTAACTAAACAAATTTGATAGTAGATTAAAATTTTTTAAAAAATAAAAAATTAATGATATATAATGTTTATTCAGATTTAAAATATATAAATACATAACTTAAGCTAATAAAAAATAAATATAATACTCATTTACATTATAGAACTAATTTTATTATATTAAAAATATATACAAATCTAGAAAAAATATTCGACAGCGTAGGGTGGATAAATACCTAGTCCAATCAAATGTCAAAAGAAAATAAGATATACAGCATATCAATAAAATCCCTATCTTGATTCTCGTAACAAATATATACGATTCCCTAGGCTTATTTTTCCGTGTTTATGTATAGATAATACCAAAATGTCTTAGAATATTCCTCAAACTCTATTTAACTAATGTACTCCAATATATCAAAAGTAAATGGATTATTTTAAGTCATGAAACTAGTTTAATACGAAGCAACTATCGTAGAATGGTATATTCTCAAAACAGCAATCGGTGATTATCATTATTAATTAACTATGATCTCAAATTCTCAACTAACATTTTTCATAGCCTATCAAACACCCTATAAAGTATAAAACATTAGGGTTACAACATTTCGCCAAACCAGACAAAAGAATAAAAACCTAAGGCCATGAGACGCGTTTCTCTCTCCCTTCTCCTTTTTCTCGTCCCTCTCTTAGCTTCATGCGCTAAAGAGAAGCAGGTTATTATCTGTCTGTTGAAATTTAATTTATCTATTCAACACTTTAATGTGCACTGAATCTCAATTCCAAATGTGCATCTAGTTGTTACCTTAACGTGTCCAAATCCCATATCATTTTCAATCTAAATATTCAAATTCATTGTTTCTTCATTAGTTCCCTCACATTGTCATTTTTCTTTTGGGTCTTTGTAGGTGTATATAGTCTATTTTGGAGAACATAAAGGTGATAAAGCCATACATGAAATTGAAGATCATCATCACTCTTATCTTCAATCTGTTAAGGAATCCGTAGAAGACGCCAAATCATCGCTATTGTACAGCTACAAACACAGCATCAATGGTTTCGCTGCTGAGCTAACACACGATGAAGCCTCTAGACTAGAAAGTACGCAAAACCCTAAAAAGTTAAAAGTCAAAAAATTTAACGAGTTACCAAATTCGTATTTTGTTATGATTTCAAATATGTATTGATTAACACTCAATTTTGTTATTTTGTGTGTTATAGAACTGAAGGAAGTTGTATCGGTATTCAAGAGCAATCCAAGAAAATATAAGACCCATACGACAAGATCATGGGAATTTGTAGGATTAAAAGATGAAGAAGGGGATTATCGTGGCGGCGAAGGCGATTATAGACGTCACAGTAATGACGTGAATGATCAGTTTCATGTTGGAAGAAAGTTTTTGAAGAAGGCAAAACAAGGCGAGGGAGTCATAGTTGGTGTTATCGACAATGGTAAGCTTCTTTACTCGTTAATTGTTTTTTTGTCCATTACTATAAAATATAAAAATTAGGGTTTCTAAAATGGCTTCAGTTGTCACTGACGTTTTTATTTTTGAGCTACTGAGAAACTTATATATGTTTTTGAATTATTTAGAGAAACAACTTCATGAAACTTGGATAAGTTGATTGAAAGGGTAAAAATGTTGTTACTCATGTGAAACTTCGTGTCCTCGAGGACCTCGACTAACTTTGAGTTTTTTCATAAACCAACCACACACATACAATTTTATGCAGATCTCTTCTGTTAAAAAAATCTTATTTATGATATATATAATTTGTTGAATAACAGGGGCCGAAATAATAGCAAAAAGATAGGTTTTTCAATATCTAAATAATATATTGTTAGAAGAAATTAATTGTCCTTAGCCAAGTGGTAAAATCCATCTATGCAGACATTCCACACTAGAGTTTAACTTCCAGGTTCCCTTTCAAGTAAGGTTGGGACTATAAAAAGGAGTTTGCATAAATCAAGATCTCTTGGAAAACTTTTGCCAAAAAAAAAAAAAAAAATTAAAGGACAAAATTGTAATATTTTCAAATCATTTGGTGTCATGTAATTATAATCTTAATCCTTCGTTGCTAATATCTTTTAATAAATATGTGGCCTAATTGAGAATATACTTGTTTATTTATTTATTGGAAAATAAAAAGGGGTGTGGCCAGAATCAAGGAGTTTCAGTGACGAAGGAATGGGACCTATTCCAAAATCATGGAAAGGAATCTGCCAAACCGGTGTCGCTTTTAACTCTTCGCACTGCAATCGGTAAGATAAACTCTCTCGTTTTTATGATAAAATTAAACAATTATTGTTACAAATATATTTATAAGTACTTTTATCAGCTCACCTTACTATTTCAAATATATTTTTTAAGTGCTTTTATCAGCTCAGCTCATATATATCAAGTAGCCATTAATTTATGCCATAAGATTACTGAGATTCCAAGGTTTTAATTTGTATGACTAATAAAGTAGACTGAATATGTGAGTAATATACATGCATGTACATGATCGCATGAGTACAACCACATAGAACCTATTGTATATATATATATATATATGTTTTGTGAGAATTATATATCTTTGCATTTCATTATCAACCAAGTTTTTATAGATAAAATGATGTATTTTCAAACATTATTATTATTGGATTAACGGTTTGATTGAAGATAGTTTTTGTTTTTCCTAAATTTTATTTCCTCTCGCCTTAATTATTCATTTTGATTAGTGTTACCATCAATTTCGATTTATCCTAATTACAGGAAAATTATCGGGGCAAGGTATTACGCAAGAGGGTACGAGAGATATTACGGACCGTTCGATGCCGCAGCTAACAAAGACTTCTTGTCTCCACGAGACGCCGACGGACATGGGACCCACACGTCTTCAACCGCTGTTGGACGCCGTGTTAGCGGTGTATCTGCGTTCAACGGTATTGCTAAGGGCACGGCTTCAGGCGGTGCCTCATTGGCTCACCTAGCCGTGTACAAAGCTTGCTGGGCCATTCCAAACGCTGACAAAAACTACGGAAACACGTGTTTCGACGAAGATTTGTTAGCTGCGTTTGACGACGCGATTGCTGATGGCGTTCACGTCATCAGTATTTCGATAGGAACGACTGTACCTCAACCGTATTTAAAAGACGGAATCGCGATTGGAGCGTTGCATGCGGTTAAGAGAGATATTGTGGTTGCGGCTAGTGCCGGTAATGAAGGACCAGGAGCTGAAACGCTGTCGAATCCAGCTCCATGGGTTATTACTGTCGGTGCTAGTAGTCTTGATCGGTATTTTATCGGTCGTCTTGAACTTGGTGATGGCTATAAATACGAGGTAATAAACCCTAATCATTTTTTATAAGTTTGTCATGTTTCATTAGTTAAACATCATTGAAGTATTTTTTTTTCTATTATACGATTAACCATGTATAATATATAGTGTACTTTTATTTTTGTATAGTCGGACTCGTTAACGACATTAAAAATGGACAACTTTGCTCCTCTTGTGTACGCAGCTGATGTAGCTGTTCCAAGTGTTTCGATGAACTATGCACCGTAAGAATTTTTTTTTTTTTTTTAACTCTTTTTACTACAAAATTATTAAATTATTGTTTTTGAATTGGCCCTTTTTGTTTGTGTATGTGAAGGCTATGTTTACCGAATTCACTTTCACCGGATCTTGTGAGAGGTAAAGTTGTGTTATGTTTGAGAGGTTACGGTTCAAGAATCGGTAAAAGCCTTGAAGTTAAACGAGCCGGAGGAGTCGGTATGATTTTAGGAAATTCTCGGGATAACGATGGAATTCAGACCGATCCTCATGTCGTACCGACCGCGTTGGTTCTCTCGTCCGCGGTCAATAGAATTCTCGATTACATTTATAATGATTATGAACCGGTTGCTTTCATCAAACCAGCAAGAACCGTACTTTATCCATACCAAACGGAAGATTCGGTTTATCCATCATACCAACCGGCTCCTTTTATGACCAGTTTTTCCAGCCGTGGCCCAAATTGGGTAGATCCTAACATTTTAAAGGTAAAAACTACTTCTTACTTTGAGATAAAGTTAAAAGTGGCATACAACATAACCGGAAATAACCCTTTTTACAGCCGGATATTACTGCACCGGGATTAAATATATTAGCTGCATGGAGCGGAGCAGATTCAGCAAGCAAAGTTTCGATCGATCGACGAGTTACAGATTATAATATCGACTCAGGGACTTCTATGTCTTGTCCACATGTTGCTGGTGCAATTGCTCTTCTCAAAAGCATTCATCCCACATGGACTAGTGCTGCCATAAGATCTGCTCTCATGACTACAGGTAACTAAATTTTCCGGTCATTTAATAATACTAAACTGAACTATTTGATTTGAGGTGTTTAATCCGGATAGAAACATCAGTTTAAGAAATATAAAAATTAAATATTATCCGGTTTGTTATTTTAATCTGAATTCTTTTTTCTTTCAGCAAAATGTATTTTAATTAGTTTTAAAAAACTATTTTGATAATTAACCTGTGTTTTATTTTTAATTGTAGCTTCGATGACCAACGAGGCCAATGAAGCGATCAAAGACTATGATGGTTACCCTGCAGACCCATTTGCACTTGGTTCAGGACATTTCAGACCAACAAAAGCAGCATATCCTGGTTTAGTCTACGATGCGTCATACCAATCTTATCTTCTCTATTGCTGCTCACTTGGGTTAACCGAAATTGACCCAACATTCCAGTGTCCTACCAAAGTTCCTCCCGCTTATAACTTAAACTATCCCTCAATCTCAATCCCATATCTCGCTGGGACAGTGACCGTTACGAGGACTGTCACATGTGTTGGAGTAACCGGTAATTCAACACTGAGCACGTATTACTTCAGTGCTCAACCACCGTTTGGTGTCTCGGTTAAGGCTGAACCGGATGTGCTGGTTTTCGATCGTATTGGTCAGAAGAAGCAGTTTAATATTATTCTTCAAACACAGAGATACGAGTATACAGGTGAGGCTCGGGAGGATAGGTATCGGTTTGGATGGTTTAGTTGGACCGATGGAAATCATGTTGTGAGGAGTCCAATTGCTGTTTCATTGGTTTGATTCTTTATTTGCTTTTTTTAGAGTAGTTTTTGGAATTTATTGTGGTCAAAATAAAAAGAAATAAATAAATGTTTTGTAATCCACTCTCTAGAGTCTTTCCTGTGTTCTTTTTTTAAAAAATGTGTGATCTCTATATAATTATTATTCTTTTTTTTTTGTCTTCAAACATGTTTTGACAAAAAAAGATTTCAATTAAAATGCAAGGAAAAAAAAAACAATACAAAAATATGACTATATGATCATATAGTTTGAGAATGTTGTTAAAAAAAACCACTACAACAAAATAGGAATTTAAAGAAAAGAAAGAACTGAAAATAACTCTCTAAAATCTTCAAAGATGGTGATCTACGGCCAGAATCATTGTTTCTTCCCTTTTCTACCATGGTCCATTGCATTTTTTGAAAATTTTGGGTAGGTTTTGTTGGTCTTCCTCCTCTTGTCTTGAACTCCAGATACTTATCTCTTTGTCAAAACAAAATCAAAGAAGCATAGTTTGATTCAATCAAAATGGAGAAGAGCTTGGTTTGATTCAATCAAAATATTGAAGAAACTATCCTCGTTCATTATCCAAACACATCTTGAAATTCTACATCTATTAAAAAGAATGTTATTATTAGATTTGATTTAATAAAATGATTTAATTATTTTTGGTTTAAAATAATCAAATGATTTTATAATAACTTATATTTGCTATAAGCTTAGTATATAATTCACAATTTAGAGTCTGAATCTCATAAGTTGAAGTTCAAGAACGTTAATCTCTTTGCTACCTATTAGACTTTCGTTTATTTTGTAATGCAGTCTGTAACTAGTTTTTGTTTGTTGCTTAAACCATTAATTAAATCTGCCAAAAAAAGTTCCAAGAAAAGGGGTAAAGACGTCATCCATAGTTATACAAAATTCCAAGAAACTTCTTCAAAATCAAGATTTCGTGTTAAGAGACTTTACCACCATTAATTTTGTAAGTATTTTATTTATTTAATAACCCCCACTTCTTGAATTGGCCTTTTCTAAGTTTGTGATGAACGATTTCGTCGTCTGTTTCTTTAAAAGCACCAACATCAAATATGCAAACTTTAATGCAATTAAAATCAGTTAGCAAAAAAAAAGAAAAAGTTTAATGCAATAAAAATGAATATGCCGTTAATTAACATCGCCACGTGAAACCACATAAAAAACTAAAGAAAGTGACTGTTGCGGGTAAAACAAAAACGTGAGACACCTAAAGAAAGAAGCTTGATGTTATTTTTGGCGATGTTAGATTGTATACGACACGTGGTGTAATATGAGTGGATAGCATTGGATTAAACTTGTAACCGCGTACACGCGTGACCTTAAAATGAAAACGCGTAATGCATTTCTTCCGGACGCGCCGCGCGGATTGCGTTTTGTGGCTTCACACCGACTCAGCTTCTTCCCCAATCATTGTGGTTTTGTTGTTGTAGATACTCAATGAATGATGTCCAACAAAAAAAACTCTAAATCAGTATTATTATATCTTCAAATATTCATAAATTATATATTAATCAAAGGATCAATCTTCATCAACAATTCAGATTCTCCATATATATATAAAATAATGGTACTGATTCTCAATTGGTAAATCGGTAAGATGGCAAAGTATTTCCATGGTTTGATAAGCTTGATAATCACACAATTTTAAGAATTCATGTTTAGCCATTTAACGATTCTTTATATATAATTAATGACTAGATGTTCAAAATTATTTATTTATTTATTTCCTAATTTTCTGTATACATACTTTTAAAAAAAATGTTATATCAATTCTGTCATTTCCATTCAACATCTTTTATATGATTTGGCAATTCTGTCACCAAGTAATATTTGAAAAAGAAAATAAATTCACCTACACTACTTTCTTAATTTTGTTCATACTATTTGGTTAATTAATAACTTAATTAATTAATATGAATCAAAATATTCTTGTAAAATGTAAATCAAGACATGAATATTTCATTATAGTAAAATAAGAGAAGCTTCCACGTATTTATAGTTTTTACTTCTGTGAGTTGAGTGATGATGAAGCTTCCACGTATTTCACAAAGAAAAATCGTAATGTGATGATGTCATCATATGCAACACTAGATTTAGTTATACGCGTACACGTATATATACAAACACATGTATACATACACATTTATTACTATACGTAGATCTTACGTGTAAGACATAATATTCTCTTTTTGCAACATATGTCTCAGTCTATAAATTTCATTTCCCCTATTTTGATATTTTTCTTCTCCATCCAATTCGACAACCTCTCTTAAACGTAACATTATCTCTTTGTTCTTCGTGCGTGCTTGAGTTTGTAAAGGACCAAAGAAACAAAATCTTTGATATTTCAATGTCGGAAGAATTTGAAGAATCAGACATTATATTTTCCGACCAATCTTTAGTCCCAGAGTCTAACCGGAAAGCTAAACTCTCGAACACCAGAAAGATCGCGAAGAGCACAAGACAGCAGATGACGGCGGAGAAAACATTTCCGGTGAGTATCCCGGCGAATGATATCCGGCGGTGCATGGAATGGGAAACGATGGAGGAAGAAGATAAGACTCCTCCGCATATAATAATCGAAAGAAGAATGAAAGAGAAAATTGCGTTTTCCGTTTGTACTCTTAAAGGAAGAGACTTGGATCGTCACCGGAACTCCGTTCTTAGGATGACCGGATTTTTAGAAGCTTGATTTATACTTAACCGGCCGGTTCATTTGTTTTATTTTTGATTAATTGGCCGGTTTTTGTCTTAAGCTTTTTTGTTCTTTTACTTTTTCCGGGTGTGTATTTGGATGAATTAAAAAAGTAGAACCTAAGTAACCAATGGTTTAATACATGTTTATGTTTCTTGTGCTCTTCACTTCAGGTGTCCGAAATTCTCAAACCGTTGATCAAATCTCACAATTACAAATTCCTGAATCGCTTTTGAGTATTGATGTTTGCTTCTTAGACTGATGACCCTCAATGCAGAAACCAAGAACCAAGCAAAAACTAGGATAATGAAAAGAAAACAGATCACAAGTTATACGAATGCGTAGAAGGAGAGAGTTAGTGCATCGAACCATAACAGCTAGAGATTTTTACCAAGGATAATAAGACCGTCGTCGATCACAACACTCAACTTTACAACAAATCTCACCGATCCTCTACACTTAAGGTCCCGGTTTCTCCAACAAACAAGAAACTCGGCCAGTTTATAACCGTAACTCTTCCTACACCTCTGCTTCGAATCATATGCTCTTAATTTGTTCTCACGATGATCATAGTAGATCAATATGAACGGCGCTTTTCTTAAAAAAAAAAAAAAAAAATTAACTGAATTTTATTTTGGTTTTCGTAGCACAAAACATGAGTAAGTAGGATCATATTAAGACACTTAATTCAACATCTTATCCGATTGGGTATCTATATTCCATTTGCACATCATAATGGGCAAGAAACGGGGGTTAAAAAGAGAATCTTGAAATGGAACAAAAGAGAAAATTCATCCTTTGTGTCAGCTAGAAGATTCCAAAGCAAATTGTAATTTTCTACCACTGAAATAAAAACTCGAATTTAATCTCACAGAAAGTTACAATCAGTCGCTTTCAAAAGGAAGAAGAAGACGAAACAGAAGAAGGTTTCTTATGCCGCAACAAGATCAGGTGTCTCAGCTTCAACGGAAAGCAAAGTGGTGTGAACTTTGTCGACCCAATTGTCCAATTGATCTCTCAAGGACTTGATCTGTGGAATCCCCAGTACTCTCGGTTGCGCCCACGACACGTAAACTGTTCCATTCACTTGATCTATAATTCCCTCAATCAGATGCACCTGCATCATTCATTCTCACTTTAGACTTCCCACAAATCGTTCTATGTCTACTCCAGGAACAAATCGAGTCAATAATGTTCGACTTCTCTTATCAACAAATGCAAAGAAGAAACTACTTACAGAGAGACTCTTCATGAGAAGGTGCTCAACATCCTCAATGGAAAGTTTAGTACGCTCAGCAATGACACTCAGAGGAATGGTCCTATCTTCGGCAGGTCGGCTGTATTATGGTTTTAAGAGTAAGCTGAATTAGTACAACAATATTGAAGTGGTGTTGAGATTCTATTGGCTAGAGTGAAAGTTACCTGAAGATGATCTCGATAAGGCAGAGAATGTTGATCTTTTCCAACAGTTTCTTCTCATTCTCAACCAGTGCTGGTTGGGCAATCAAGGCTGCCTGGTGCACACGGCACAGTTCTTGATACTGAACTAAATCGCCATGGTTGAATGCCTGGAGAATGTGGTAAAGCCATTCCACATTTGTTCCAAGGAGACTTTTCAACTGTCATTAGAGAAATTCTACATGTCAGAGATCCCTATACAGTTCCTAAAAAGAACTAGTACAACGTGAGAGTTAGTTAGAAGCTGTTCTCCATGTTCCTTAAAGATCAACAAGAAACCTCTAATCTACAGAGGAAAAGTTTACAGTAAGTTGTGTTGAGGATGAAGGAGAACTTACAACGGGATGGGCCAACAGTTCTCCAAAGTTGTAGATGTTTTCTCCAAGTAGAGCTGAGAGTGATAAATCGAAAGCCAAATCCTGAAAGACACGGAAATGATATGATATTAGCGATTTGATCTGTGAATTCAGGAAAGCTACAATAGTTAACACTATTTTTATCTTAGGTTTCCTCTAAGTTTTCTTATCCACTAGCGCTAACAGGAAACTTGAAAAGCAAAACCTTAGAACAAGATATGCAACATAACAAGGACGTACCAGCTTAAAGGAGTCCGAGAGTGCCTCCACAGACGTGTATGCAAGATAAAGCAGAGCACTTTTGTAGAAATCAGAAAATTCTTGACGGAACTTGTGGTACTGAGAAGACACCCAGTAGAAGTTGGCATAGACCGATGGATCAATGTCAGTCATACTATCAAGAGAGCTCTTCCCATCGTCCAAGATTTTCTTGCACTCCTTCTGGTCACCTTGCTCAAGCTTGAATAAAGCCTTTTGTGTTTCTATATAAATGATTGGTTCAGTGATCCGAGGCTCCTTAGTGGCTTTGAGTTTCTCAATCACTCCTTCAAGATAGTTAACTGCAGCTTCTTTCTCAGGGTACTGTCGGGAGACAACCACAGCAAAATGCGCAAGCTTCAGAAGATTGATCTTCGTCTCAAAGTCAGTGATGAAATTGTTGTAGAACTGTATTAGAGCATCGCCAGCCTGAAATAAAAACAGAAAAAATTTACATTATAACAAAGAAACATGTTATGAGATTGATACACAAACTTGGACGCAATCGAAAACTAAAATCAATCATCGGATATAAAACGAGCCAGGATCCATAAACTCTGTTGACGTATATCAATGGCATAATTAGCAGACACCAGAAAAGAGCAAAAACAGGATAAAACTCGGAAAACAGAGGTTTTTGTTTTATATCTCTCAGCCCAAAGATTCATTCACGTTCAGTACCAGCGAACTTCAACGATAACAAAACTTGAATACTCACGAAATTTCAGCTACATCTAAAAACCCTAACTCGAAAATCTCAAAGACTAACTCGTAGAGAACGCTATCATCGTTCAAACGGATCTCTGGATCCTGTTACTCCGAAGTAAACAACAGCTCCAACCAAATTTCTCGAGATCTATGAACCCTAAATCCCCACGGACCACTGCTAAACCAAAAAAAGGAGAAGAGTCCAGTATAAATATGGAAAACCATCACTTCGAAGGGGAGAAGCAAAAATACCTGAAAGACAGAGAGAGCGATGAACTGCTCGAGCTTCAGGGTGAGCTGATGCCATAGCTTTTTCTGATACAGATCTGCAAGGGAATTGTACCATTCACCGAGCTCTGGATGCGCATTTTTCTGAGATTCCAAGTACTGAAGAGCAGCCATGGCGGATTTTTTTCCTCGGCAGAAGTAGACGAAGATGAAAGGAAGACACGATTCGCGAATTCGATCTTATATCAGAGCCCTGCGTAAAAAATCCTAAAAACCCTTCCTTCCCCTTCTATTTTGTTTGTTAATCAGATAATCCAATCTAAAAGAAACAAACTACCGGGGCCATTATGTAAAGTTATAAGTTTAATAGAACTTTTATGTAAATAACAATATACTTAGGACCCGGAAGGCGGAAGTCAGTCCGGGTTAAGGTAATTGGGTTCAAATTTTCGGGTTCGGGTCGGGTCGGATCAATGCTAGTGCTATTACCAGTAGTGGCGTTTTGATTTCTTCTCCCTAAGTTCACACTCGCTTTGAGAGAGAGAGAGAGAGAGAGAGAGAGAGCGATGGAGGATGAGGAAGATTTTGGGGATTGGGAAATGATGGAAATCGTCATGAAAGCGGAAGAGAGTTATTGCCCTACTCAGCCGTGTCTGCCTGAGCCTGCTCCAGCGATTGTACCGGTTCCGGCTCCAGCGCCGACGCCGGTGGTGGCGACGATTTCGTCGTCTTTACCACACGCTGTACAGTTACAATCCGCGGGACTACAGAAAAAAATTCCAGTTCGTGATCCTCCTTTCGTCAGCTACTCTCCACCGAGAGTACTCTCTCAAAGAGTAGTAAACGGATTCAATGGCGCGTCAGTGGATTACTCCAACTCTTCGGCGGCTGCTGCTAGACCAAGCTCTCCGAGTTCTTCGACTCGTCCCTATGATAGCGAGAAGGATCTCGAAATCCGTCGTCTTAAGGTTAGGGTTTTGTTAGTGATCACGAGAAGATATTGCTACTTTGTATGTTTCTCATATTGTTTTCTTGGTGGTATATGATAACAGATGGAGCTGGAACGTGTCTCTAAGAAGTTACTGGATACGGTTCGATTATTATATCCTTGAGTTTTCAGTTCATATAAATTTCTGTTTTTTTTTAATCTTTGAAGTGTTAAAAATGATCTTTGATGGGTTACCACATTGTTGTATCAGGAACAAGAATTTTCTCAGCTGAAGAAGGGGAAAAGCAAAGAAACACAGTCCAAAAACTTGCGTGATGAAAAGAAAGGGAAATGTGCTACAGTTCATGCTTCTAAGAGAACAAACTTGTGAGTGAATGTTGGTTCTCCTGTGTTATTTAGTGAGATGAAAGCATCTAAACTTGGGGTATTTAGGTTGATTCATTTCTGAATTAGCATTGCCTTGAAGCATCCAGTTTTGTAGAATGTAGCGTGTCTCATCGTTACAAAACTAACCCTTCATTAGCTTGCTACTTTTATTTTCCTTTACAAATCACAAGATTGGACTGATGAACAAGTCTTTTGAAACAGGGAGCCAGATGGTGCGACTTCAGTAAATGATCGAGGAATCGATTCTACAGCAGTGTTAGATGACAAAAGAAGTATGTGAATGTAGATTTTTTCGATAACGAGTCTGAAGATTTTGAAGTCTTGTTGTGTTGATTTTGTTTTTTTTTTGGTTCTGATCATAATTTCTGATTTGGCATACGTCAGGCTTCAAGACCACTGGTGTTCAGGCGGATCTGACCAATCATTCTGACCTTTCAAAGAAACTGCTAGATATCTGGTGCACCTCGAATTATCAAGATCCAAGGAAAAATCTAATCACAGAGTTGCTACTGGCTTGTTCAGCAGATCTCCAGATTCTCTTTAGTTTTATGAATATCAGTACGCCTCCCAAAGAAAAAGACAAGCAGGCAGCCAAAACCTTGTCGAATATGCAATCTTCTAAACCATTAGAATCTGAAAAAGTATCTCACTTGTATTCTGCTGTAACAAAGGTAAGGTTCAAACATTAGACTTGTCAGTGTATACAAAGTAGGTCATACTATTATGTATATTTGAACTGCCTATGTCTGCTGCAGATCAGCTATGGGTTTGTAAATTTGAAGACCTTGGTTGAGCCACTACTTGGTCTTTGTAAGGCGGAAAATGTATGTCAGATTTCAATTCAAGGCTTTATCTGCTATTTGGATCTCTTTCATTTTCTCCCTGTTTGATAAGTGTATGCATCTGTCTTTCTTTGCAGGCCGTTCTTGTTCATAGATCTCTACATGTACTACATGTGCTCTTGGAGCATATATGTGGTGTTGAAGAGAGATTTGAAGCCAGGTATCTACTCTCTCTATCTGCGGTTAGTTTTCTAATTTTCTCCAATGTTTCTTTGCTTAACATAAAGCATTGCTTGTAAGAAAAAAATTGTTTTCATGATCTCTCATTAAATGAAGTTAGGTTCATAAAATATGTTTTTGAGTTTTTGAGTTCTCCTTCGAGAAATTATAGTCTTTATAGCATTCTTATGAGCTTTGATTTGAACTTTCCAGTGCACTCTATCAGGGACAATACCACAGGTGAGGAGGCCAGCAGCTCTTGCGAGGTTGCCGAGTTTCATGGATACAAAGGTAGAGGGAAGACTAACTTGAGCATTGGAGAGTCAGTTTACTCGAGTAATATCCCATTACGGGGAAGATCTGATGCAGAGTCGAGCAGTAAGAGTCAGGGAGATACTGATAAAGCTCAGCCAAGTTGGGATGCAAACTGGCATTCACTGTTTGAATTGATGAATCAAATTGCTAGCAAAAGAACCGAAGCTAATGTGAAACTGGAAGCAGTGTCTATAATGAACATAATCGTGATGAGAACTGATGCGTATACAGAGAGAGAAACGTAAGCTCTCAAACCATTCTTTTTTCTTCTTCTTCTACTCTGCTAACATTCATGTAACGATTATTCTTTTCTGTGACCAGCTTTGTCTCCAAGGAAGTTTTTGAGAGCATATCGTTACTTTTAAAAAGAGAAGCTGGCTTACACGTTCGTAAAGGAGCTATTCATCTTTTCTACTTGCTGCTCAATTGTAAGTGTGAGATGCATTCGTCTTTCTTCTCTAACCTATCTATTTATCTCTATAAGTATTGAATTGAATTTCTTTATATTCCGTTTCAAAGGTCCAAAACTATTAGCTAGATTTGACTCTCTCCATGAGGAAAAAAGATCTTCAGCTTCTTGGAACGACAGCCAAGGAAATCTCTTTGCTTTGGAAGCATTTGGTATGATCTTTGAAGGTCTAGCAGATTGTCTTACTTCTCCAAGAAAGACATCAGAGGTACAAAAAGAAACACGAAGAAAAATCTTAATGTCAAGTAGATCTTCTGAAACTAAGGATTAACACAGCTTTTTGTTGGTTGATCGTGAACTTCAGGATCTGGAACTGTGTCGGAATGTAATAATGATCTTGGCATTAGTAGCATCTTCAGGAAACTCTGGCTATGAACTACTCTCAAGTCACAAACTACCTCAAGACACCAACTTCTTAATGCTGATACTGCATCTGTTAGCAGCGGAAATAGACTCGGAATCAACAGAGTCGTACACAAAAGCGGAAATTTTCAAAGCGAGGTATGTATATATATTCATGTGTTACAAGTTTTGTGTGTGTTAACGCTAATTTAACATGTAATTTATTATTTTACTGACGACACAGGATACTGTTGATGAGAGAGATACTGATATTACTAAACAGACTTGTCTCTGGCTCTTCAAGCTCTTCTACGATTCTAAGGGAGTTAACAAAGAGCAGAGACATGGCGAGTCTAACGGTTGATGCAGCCACAAGATTGTCTCGTAAAAGAAACTTACTTATACAATCCGAAAGCAGTGTTGGGAGAATGAGGGAATCTGAGATCATGGACTTGGCACGCATTTTCAAGAGACGGGTCTTCGCTTTCTTAGGTGACAATACTTGATTAACACACAAATCTCATTAATGGTGTTAGGAGCAATTGAGTTTTTTTTGTTTTTTTTGTGAGCATATGTATATCTGCAAATTTTGATTGAGGAAGTATCTTTGAATGATGTGACCTCTGTTGTTTCGGTTCACTTTTTGATCAGACAATCACGAACTTGTAGCCATGTTCTGTAATTCATTAAAATGGTGTAGGGGTGAGGAATTGTCTGTTGGACCTGTAAGACTCTTACAGCGAAAATTCAGATTGAAAATCACGAATAAAATTCAGATTGAAAATCACAAATCAAAGAATGATTAAAATCAATAATAAATGATAATAAAATATAAAACACTTTTAATAAAACCTTTAAGGAAAAACGATACACGGAGTCGAGATATGATATCTTTCCTTAATTTTTTAAATTTTTCACACTATGGCGGTTTGATGAGATTCAGAATCCCAAGATACAACCATGTTGAGACTAAAGTCGCAACACTCGACTATAGAATCTGCGAACTTAAAATTCTACGCTATACTCTTGAGACTTATCTAAGACTGTAGAGACAAGAGGGATTTGCTGGAGTTTATGTTTGAAATCTTATTGCTTTTCTGGATGAAGAATAATGAATGAGAGAGGTCCTTATTTATAGTGGAAGAGAGGTTTGTGATACAAGGAATTTTCCTTATTACTCACAGCAGATAAACGGAAATATTCCGAATATATTTGTTCCTTGTTCGACAAAGTTAAGGAAAAACGAAAATATTCCGAAAACCTTTATTCCTTGTTTGACAGAGGAAACAGAAATATTCCAAAAAATCTGTATTCTTTATTTGACAAGGATAAGAGAAATGGAAATATTCCGTAAAATAATTCGACTCAATCAATAAAGATTTATCGATATTATACAAAATTATAAATAGAATATTGACAATTTTATTAAATAAGTTAATAAAGGTTTATTCCAAAAAAGAAATTATTTTATGGTTTTGCATAATAGCCCTCATACTTCCAATATATAACAAATGCACATTTTGACTTTTAGTCTTGATTACATATCCATTTTGACCATTTATTTATTATTCAAAGTAACTTCGATTTTGACAAGTAATTACACTTTCTATTAGTGCTCATTACAAAGATTTCAAAGAATCCATAATTGTCAAAATTTAAGTTCTAACAATCTCCCACATGAATAGAAATTACTCTAAAACATATGCAGACT